CAAATATATCAGCAAACGTTGATCAAGTGTGGGAAATATTATATTTATAATATGTTAAATATGATTTTTCTTTTGTATTATGTAGGTAACGTTGGGTTTTCAAACAACACATTTCTAGAAATGCTTTTTCTGGTAACACTTTACAATAAGGTTTCATTAGTTAACATTAGTTAATGTATTAACTAACATGAACTAACAATAAGCAATAAGCAATTGTTACAGTATGTATTGATCTTTGTTAATGTTAGTTAATAAAAATACAGCTGTTCATTGTTTGTTCATGTTAGTTCACAGTGCATTAACTAATGTTAACAAATACAACCTACAACTTTTATGTAAATGTTGAAATTAATGTTAACTAAGATTAATAAATGCTGAAGAAGTATTGTTCATTCTTAGATCATGTTAACTAATGAACCTTGTTGTAAAGGGTTACCGTTTTTCTTTACGTTTGCCTTGTAATAATACTTAAGTAGACAGGCAGGCTCAATGACAATGCATGATGCAGCAAGCTACAATCTTGTTTTCTCAAACCTGCCTGGCATAAAGATCCAATTTGCTGAGCCACTTAAATCCAGTTCATGCCTACATCCAGTATAGCTGCTAGCCAATCAGATCACTGGACCCTTGACCATTTTATCCACTTAAATCAGTACTTTGTATTTGGGGAACTGAAGATTATGTTATGTTTAGTGTTATTGAATAACTTTTACATCCACATCCACATGCATTAACTTGCTCTACATTGTACTGGGGCTCTGGGACTTATAATAACCGCACGGCTAAACTGGGAAAGGAAATAATGGGAAGACAGGCAGTAGTGGGATCAAGAAATGACACAAGGCATGCTTGAAGTCGGGTCATCCACAACACGTCGTAGCACGTGCGCTTGTGCACAGTCCGCCAGATCATGTCAAACTCAGATTTATCTACAATTCTAAGATGTTTTGATTCATTTGTTCTGTTGAAATACCAGTTGGCTTTAGATCGGAAAGTTATACTACAAAGAACAGAATGCTGTAGATAAAATCACAAATCTCAATAGTATCTCACAAGTATCAATGAGAGCACAGCTTGGATACAAGAAGAGTAAAACAGTAAAACACTCAAAAGAAACACTAAAGAACATCTCAGACTAATTTTAAGACTTAATTCAAGAAAAATGTTCTCATTTCACTGTCAATTCATTTCAAACCTGTATGACTTTCTTTCGAGTAAATTCTTTCTTCCATGAAAGGGCACCCTTTGTCAAGCTCCAAAAAAAGACAGTTGATATATATATCCGCCTCAAGGTTGCAAATTGTAGCCTCTTTTTCCTATTTGTAGTGGAGATGAGTGGTACCCGGTGGGGTCTTCTACTGTTGTAGCCCATCCGCCTCAAGGTTGTGCGTGTTGTGGCTTCACAAATGCTTTGCTGCATACCTCGGTTGTAACGAGTGGTTATTTCAGTCAAAGTTGCTCTTCTATCAGCTTGAATCAGTCGGCCCATTCTCCTCTGACCTCTAGCATCAACAAGGCATTTTCGCCCACAGGACTGCCGCATACTGGATGTTTTTCCCTTTTCACACCATTCTTTGTAAACCCTAGAAATGGTTGTGCGTGAAAATCCCAGTAACTGAGCAGATTGTGAAATACTCAGACCGGCCCGTCTGGCACCAACAACCATGCCACGCTCAAAATTGCTTAAATCACCTTTCCTTCCCATACTGACATTCAGTTTGGAGTTCAGGAGATTGTCTTGACCAGGACCACACCCCTAAATGCATTGAAGCAACTGCCATGTGATTGGTTGATTAGATAATTGCATTAATGAGAAATTGAACAGGTGTTCCTAATAATCCTTTAGGTGAGTGTATATATATATATATATATATATATATATATATATATACACATGAATACATGACTCATGACTCTCAATATGATTTCATTAACACCATTTATGGATTTGCCACGACTTCCTCTTGTGGCACAGAGATAATGTTCTAAACTTATGATGGTGCATGTCATTCCAAACCTATAAGATTGCTTTATATGATCACATGTAAATGAGGTTTGTTCCAACGCATCGAGCAAGCATTCTTGAGCTTCCGTTTACCATATTTGAGTGCTGGACGTAGTATGTCAGAGTTTTGGGTGAATCTATTTTTAATGGAGGGACAGAAATCGCTCGGATTTCATTAAAAAAATAGCTTGATTTGGGTTTCGAAGACGGACTAAAGGTTTAGAATGATATGAGAGTGAGTAAATGATGATTCACCCTTTAAGCTTTGTAAAAGATGTTTAGATGTATGTGAATGAGTGTGAGAAGCCTCTGTCCGTATCTCAAGGCCAGTGACACACTGTCACAGGCTTTAAAGCAAAAGTCAGCATCCGGTGTAATGTGCACACGCACTCACAGATAGGACACCTCATGCTATTCCTGGATCAGAGAACAAAACACTATGGAAATTTACTCTTGTAAACAAAATGTCTGATGAGTCACAGATAAACAAAAATGAGTGTGAGAGGAACAGAATCAGTGTTTTTATTATCAGTAAATATAGTTTTCTTGGTTAGAATGATCATTACAAGAACTTGTGCAGACAGACACATCATATTTTATATCATAACATGAAAATAAGGATTATAACAAACGGCTTTGGTAATTGTATTGCAGATTTATTTAGTAAGCAGTCTTGTAGTACTGTAAGTGGGATAATATTGCAGTCATTATTGCAAAATAAAGCCCAACATGGTGATACCATAAGACCATTTCACTTCGCACCAGGGTCCTGATCACTCTGTCTTGCTTATATTTTGCGATAATGATCGGCTGTTATGCTTACATATTTAATATAGTGCTTTTTATGGCTGCATTTTTTAAATCCCTGCATTGAAATTTCCTAAACTAATTCTTAAGGCAAGAAGCTTAGTGGAGTTTGTTTCAAAACATGTTTTTTTTTATTCTCACAGCACACACCAATAACAACTTACACTGGCAGTCCACCAGAAAATGAACCCAAACAACATCATGCTAATCTGCGTGTGTGTGTGTGTGTGTGTGTGTGTGTGTGTGCGTGCGTGCGTGCATGCGTGCGTGTGTGCGTGTGTGTGTGTGTGTGTGTGTGTGTGTGTGTGTGTGTGTGTGTGTGTGTGTGTGTGTGTGTGTGTGTGTGTGTGTGTGTGTGTGTGTGTGTGTGTGTGTGTGTGTGTGTGTGTGTGTGTGTGTGTGTGTTGTTTTTCATTAATTGGGTCAAACTCTTCAAACAACCAATAAGGAGAAGTTCAATCCAAATATAGTGTTGGATCAAAAAGTTGCGTAGTTCATAAAAACAGGTAGTTGTGGGTTTAGTAAGTATAAAGAAATGCAGCCTTGAATGACGAATGCAAATGTGATAGCTGAACTCAGCAGGATATAAGATCTCAGCTGCTCATTATACACTGTTGGAAAAAATCAGCAGGGAATCACTTAGGAAAGCTTTTGTGATTGTCTTGATTTGTGAAAGAAAATATCCAGCTGGGCTCAGTGTTTTCTAACAAAACAAAATCCAAATTTCCAACTTCACATCACTGTGGCTATAGTGTAGTATGTTTTTCTAACACAAAACCCAGTGTTATTATTGTCAATACCTTGAAAAATCAGTTATTGTTAACAATATAAGTAATTGAAATAAAGCTGAAATAAAATAAAATATAGATTTTAGAAAAAAGGCTAAAAAACAAACAAAACTTAGAAAATGTTGCCTTAGAAATGTTGCAACTAACTGAAATAAGTTAAATTTGAATAAAAATAAAAAATAATTTAAAGCTATTTAGAAATATTTCTTAAAAATGAGGTAAACTTTACAATAAGGTCCCTATTAAAGTGCTAACTAACATTAACTGACAATGAGCAATACATTTTTTACAGTATTTATTCATATTTTTTAATGTTAATTGGTTACCTACTATAATAATATATAAATAGTACTAAAATAACACTGACCTGAGCCGTCTGCTGTCCACCTGCAAAAGTGTAGAAAAGTTAACTAATAAAAGACATAAATCATAGCAAACTTACTTTTACAATAAATTAGAAATGTTGTCATTGTACTAAAGGGATAGTTCAGCCAAACATTTACTCACCCTCAAGATGTTCCAAACCTGTATGAGTTTCTGTCTTCTCCTAAACACAAAAGTAGATATTTTGAAGAATATTGGTAACCATTGTTTATGGTTGATGGACCCCATTGACTTCCATAGTGAGAAAAAGTGGGGCACATCAACTGTTTGTTTACTGACATTCTTCAAAATATCTTATTTTGTGTTCAGCAGAAGAAAGAAACTCATACAGGCTTGGAATAACTTGAGGGTGAGTAAATGATGACAGAATTTTTATTTTTGGGTGAACTATCCCTTAAAGCTCTTATCATGGTTACACTTTATTTTACAGTATGTGTGCTTACAGTGTAGTTACACAAGAAAGTACTGGTAATATAAGATAACTACATTGGTTAAACTTAGGTTTTAGAGTAGGTTGAAGTTTAGTATCTATAACCCAGTTATTTTAACGGAACAGGACTGTAATATAAAGTGCTACTGATATCATTGTTATTAAAACATTTTTAACTGTATCTTTATCTTTGAGGACATCCCTGAATGTCCCTATGTCCTGTTTTGTCTGAATTAGTTCCGTTCTGTTCCCAAAGTGTAGCTAAGCAAGCCCATCACACACACAGGAGTCCTGGTGCTGAAGTCCACTTCTGGTTTTCCGGCCCCTCCCCTCTCAGGGTGATTAGTGTGGTAAGCCGCAGTGGGATTGGGTGAGAGAGTTAGTCTCATTACTACACGTACAATGTGCCACTGCTCTCAGCCTGACCGTTCTGATGCTGGACAGAGGAACTTTATATGAACTACACACCCTGACGCTTAGGAATTAAGAGACCAAAGAGAATTTCAACAGAGCAGACTTTCAGCTTCAGAATCATGCGGGAACTCAGACGTTTGATGTTCCCCAAGACGGTTTAATTTGAAGGTTGCTCCACTATGAAGGACTCAAAGAGACATTAAGCTAGTTTGGTATGTTTGGATTGTCTCACGTCACCATGGAGATCAGGAAAGTGCATCTGAAATGCCCCGGGACATTTTTACTGACCATGATGATGTTCAAATGGGGTAAGTTCCCTCTCTCCTTCTGTCTCAATGCCTTGAAAACAAGATATAATATTTTATGAACATATATTTTCATAAATACATATTTATAGAACATTAAGTTAACTATTACTTGGCAACCCTGAACAATGAAAGAAGGAACTTCTTACAAGAGGCAAAAAATGGGACACTGATCATTAAAAGCTGTTGAGAACATCTTTCATAAAATCAGGGATAGAAATAGAATGTGATGTTTTGCTAATATTTGCTCAATTAGGTGTGTTTTATTCTAAGAAAGACCAAGTTTAATCGTATATGTCTTTGCTAGAGTCAAAAGCAACAGGTTGGATGTGGCTCTATACTGGTACTTAGATTTTTTGGGAAACTTTACTTTTTAAAAAGGCAGATGAAAGCAAGTAAATTTACTTTTATCAACACTGTAAAAAAACTAAAGTATTAGTAATAATTGTTTTGTAATCATGCTAGGAGACAAAAGCGCGAGGAAGGGGGGGCTCTTTTGACTTGTACCTGTAAGCAGCCACCTAGCAACCCCTCAGAACACTCTAGCAACCACCCACAAAACTCTAGCATCATGGTGGTTTAAAAAAACTGCATGGTAAGCCCTTGGTGTTCATTTAGCTATTTATTAGATATCATATCTTCTACACTTTAAAAAAATGCTGGGTTGTTTTAACCCGTAAAATTTTATTTTGAAACCCAACGGTTGGGTTTGTCCATATTTGACCCAAACATGGCTTGAAACAACTCAGCATTTTTTCTTTTTGTCTGTTTTTACTGACACAGAATTCCTGGCTCTGTTACTCGCATTAGTGTTGTGGTCATTTTCTGTTATCTGGGACTCCCAAAGATGTGCACTGGAGTGTAACTCGCGTCCCTCCTCCTGTCTGGACTGGATATGACTGGAGCATGGTAGACGGGTGTATGGGGGAGGTTACCCATCTATTTTCCCTCCCTCCATCCATCCAATCTGATTCATCCAGGGGGGGGGGGGGTTCCATTGTTTCCCGTTGCCATGACACCAGGGCTGAGTCATTTGGACGTTGTGTGCGGGTGGAATCTGCGTTAAGCACTTTTAACAAGCTCTGTTTACTTTTGCGTCCTGTAGGCTTAACGCTCTTTCATCTGACTGCACAGTCAAGCTGTCTCTGAGTATTTAACTCTATGATGATCATATCCAGGATAATAACAAAGTTTTGAGTCTAAAGTATTAATGGTTGTATATAAAAGCAAGTATACATTTAAGTAGAGTAATAATAATAATTGAGTAATAATAATTAACTACATGCATTTACTACAGGGTTAGGATTAGGGTTTGGTTGTGGGTTAGTTGCATGTAATTATGCATAATTTATAGTTTTTACTACAGTAACTACATGTGTAACAGGGACACTGTAAAATAAATAAAGTTGTATAAAATCGAAATGCGTTTGGCACTTACAATAATACACTTTGCTAAGTCAAAACTCATTGTTCTGACTCACAGATCCTGCTGTTTAGGTGTCAAGTGTTGTATGCAATTACAACACTGCATCTGTAGTGTATTTGCATAGACTAATGGGAGTCAATGGGGGAATTCAGCGAGATGAACAGTGAAACTGGTCTAATGTCCTGACTGAGCTGATAGTTCATGTCAAATCACGCATGCAAATGTAACATCAAGCGCTTAGGGAAACGAGGGGGATCCTGGAATTCACATGACTTTTTCAATGAAAATGTCTACAATGGACCCTGCCCCCAACCCTAATCCTAACAAGAACACTGAGAGGGAAGAATAAATTCACATGACAAAGTCCACTGCATTCTCACAGTCAAGATTCTGCTAATAAAAGTGAGCCTATACTAGCTAGAGGAGCCTGCGTTGATGCTAACATTAACAAAAAACACCTTTCTGTTGATCAGGGCTCAAAAATATCACCTATTTAGAAGGTTCAATAAATGTTTTGGGTAATAGAGTGTAATATATAGCTACTGCATGGCCAAAAAAAAAAAGTTGAGTCTATGATTGGATCATTATTGTAGTGATTATTATGTTTCTAGAATGATATATGTTTGGCAACAGTTCTTTGGAGTGTGTAGCTTTTCATTTCTCAAACATCCATGTAGGAAGACACATCTGACCATATTCCAGGATGACAATATCAGGCTCAAATTGTGAACGAATGGTTGGGAGGGAGCATGAAGAATCATTTCCACACATGAATTGGCTCCTCTGAATCCAGACCTTGAATTCAGTGAAAGTTGTTTGGGATGTGCTGGAGGAGACTTGACAGAGTGCTGGACTCTTGCATTGTCAATACAAGATCTTGACCACACATAGATGCACCTATTTCCATCAAGAGGTCCATCAATTGTTGGTCAAGATCTAGTATATTATAGTAAATAAATAATATTATTAATAATAGTATAACTTTTACTAGCTAGAGGAGGTGTTAAAGGTGCCCTAGAATGTTTTTTTTTGTGTTTTTTTTATAATGTTTCCTATAATGTTTCCTCAAAAATAGTCATAATTTAGAAATAAAAGGCATTTTTCCTAGCCTGATTTTAGCCTCTGATTTGAACGCTCTGTTTGAAGGGGCGTGTCTGCTGTGTGTAACCGGCCTCTGCTGTGATTGGCTGACATGCTTGCATATGAAATAGCTATGTACATGTGAAACTCTCTCGAATAATTTTACTACAGCTATTATACGTTTTTACTATTACAGCTATCGAGATTAACGAATCGTGAGATGTTTTTAAAGTATTTCGATCTATTCCCATCACATAAAATGTTGCCGTGATGAGCATTGAGCAGATCACAGTCTGTTGATCGCGAGCATGAAGATCTTATCATTGCAACGCAGTTTCTGCACTCTCTCTAATGCTTTCACCAATGCAAACACGATCATGTAATAAGAGCTTAGTTGTGCAGTGTAACGTGCGTCATTGAATTCATAATGAGTTTGGCAAGTGCATTCTGAACGGACTGCAGACCTCTTTGCGTGATCACGAAGCGGAATTTATAAGCAAGATCACGGGAATCAATAGCCTAATACAGCCCAGTTGCGCTAAAATAAATATCATGAGATGTCCATCATCAGATGAATGACATGGAAAAGTTAAGTTAGAGCCGCTAAAGCCAGTGCTACCCATGCGAACATGCACACTAGCGTTTCCCTCCAAAAATATAGCCTAAAACTTATCTAAGTTTTCACCCTGCCTCTCCAAATGCAAAACTGACATTAACAAAATGCAATAACAGCTGAAAAAGTACTTGGGTGTGTGTTTTATTTTGTATCTACCGTTTAATAATGCAATCGCTGCTGTCTGTCCATAGAAGAACATGACAGCCCGCGTATGTTTTGGAACTATTGGGGCTTACATGAACCACGTGACAGCCGTCGCAGCGACATCAAAGCGTGTCGCAACTCTTTCTCTCTATGGCTCTGGGTAGCTCGATCCGAGGCCAGCTCTGTATTGGCCCAAGTTGAGGAAACAGTCGTCGGTGAAATGTTTGGAAATTTCCAGAGAAAATAAAATTAACCCATTGTTTCTTCAGAGGCTCGGATGAAGGAACTAAAAAACACTTTTGTGTTCATGTGTACATCAAAACACTGAGCAACTGCCATGCTTCGGCTGCGCAGTTCCGCCTGACATTGAACATGGGCTGGCATATGCAAATTTTTGGAGTCATGCATATTAATGATCCCGACTGTTGCGTCACACTCGGTGTTATGTGGAGATTCGCCTATTTTTCAGGGGTGTTTTTCAAAAACGAGGTTTAAGGAGAAAACAATGGTGTTTGAGACTCACTGTATGTCATGTCCATGTACTGAACTCTTGTTATTTAACTATGCCAAAATAAATTCAATTTCACATTCTAGGGCACCTTTAAAGGAGCTGTATGTAAGACATTTATTTGAATTAATCATAAAATGGCCCTGATATGTCACTAGACATTGAGAAATCATGTTCATTTCAAATACTTATATCACTGACAACAGTAGTCCGGCCAGGATATTGTCATTCAAAAAGTGAAGTTGCAGCCCTCAACTGATGTTGATGTTGTCATGTTGTGTTTTGGTCTGTTGCTCCACCCTCCACCTATCGACCATTCACGAAGTCAGTAGTGTTGCGGCATCCGGGTTGCCAGCTCTGCTCTAGTTACCACAGCTGCAGCTACACACGTGTCGGATAAAAAAATGCAGCCGATCTGGCAACCTCGAGTCAGGGGGAGGGGGAGGGGGAGGGGACACACCGCTCTACAGTAATTTGAAAGTGATTGCAGTACCAGTTTTGGCCACAATCTTACATACAGCTCCTTTAATGCAAAAATTGACATGCTTTTGTGTGGATTAATGCTCACAAATATCACCTTGTATATTTAGAGGGTTAAATTAATGCTTTGGGTAGAGTATTATATCAGTGCTATCAAATCAATTAATCACGATTAATCGCATCTAACATAAAAAAGGACGATTTACTTGCAAATAATAGCTGCTTAATAAAAAGGTTTTTACAAAATAATTCACATGTGCTCTTACAAAAAATCAAGCTTCACATTTCTGCATTTAAACTCTCCAGACGCTGACCATGCAGGTTTACTTAAGTAGTATCTGCTACTTAACAGATATTATGCAAATTTGGTTGATAAAACAGAAATCTTTTAAATTCTAATATTATGTTTTGGTTTTAAATTTACTTGACAGAATAAAGCTAATTTCCTTCAGTGCCAAAAGCCTTGTGTTGATGCTCATGAGGCGTAACACTCAAAAGCATCACCTATAGAGTGTTAAAGGTTAAAACTTTGTGTCTAGGTTTAGATGCAGGGGGGGATAAAGCTAATTAGCCTATTAGCATCTGAGTCTAGAGCTAATGACAGAACTGTGCTAAGTCTGAGTTCATATTAATGCTAAGAACAACCACTACTCTCATATTTACAATGAGTCAAAACTATATATTTAGTCTGAAAAGTTTGATTCTTAATGTTAGAATTCTTAATTTTAGGTTCACATGAGAAAATGAAGCATGCATAAGTACAAATAAACTTGCACACACCTCTCCAGTGCCTGTGAAAATGACCAGACCACAGGTTATCAGAAAGTCCTGTCACACATCACACACACGTCCCAGCTGCCCTCTTACTGTCATTCTCTCTGTAATCCATCCGTTCCCACTCATATCTCTGGACAGATGCATATTAGTGTTATCTCATTCAGATGATCTCCCCATCTGACTGGGCCACTAACCCTGACAAATTTCACAGCCATTGTATAGGCAGTTGATCTCTTACCTCCAAGATCCATACAGTGTGTTACAGGGTTAACTGAAACTAAAACTACAACCATTAAAACAAAACAAAAAACTAAACTTCTTACTTGAAATAAAATAAACATAAACTGAAATACTGTATGTATACTGTATATATTATGACAAATGACAAAAACACACAACAAAATAACTAAAACTTGACATAAATTTCAAATATAAAAACAAAAACGGATTCAAAATAGTAATAAAAACTACAATAGTATCTTAATTATATTAGAATAACGCTGGTGTTACACACACATACAGATGCCGTTTCCCCGCCTGACCCCTCTAAAACAATCTGTAACCCCTAAAATTGTAAAACTAACCATTCACGCCCCCTCACAGCAGGAAGTAAGACAAACAGGGATGATTGACAGGGATGTAAACAAAAGGGGAGGAGTTCTCCTTGATTGACAGTCAGTATCAGTGTTAGCAGTTTAACTCTAAGAACCTGCGTGGCTAACATTCTTCCAGCGGCCTCACACAGATAACCTTAAACACTGACACAAGTAAGCCGTAGAGCTCAAGACAGATGTCAGGAGAATGTCTCCGTCTGCCACGGGATGCCAAAGACTCTCAGATCTCTGTGAAACCTCAATGTTAAAGTCTGTATAATCAGAACCACTACAGCCTGTCTCCACTATGAACCTAAACGCGTCACATCTGGGTGCTGTCCACATTCCAGCGAGATCACATTTAAGAGAATACAAATACTGTATGAATATGAATGGAACATGACCAGATCAAAAGGTGACGAGCTCACATTGGTAGCAGACAGATATTGTTGCAGTGCAGTGGGTAAAGGCTGCACATAATTGATCAAAAATACAGTAATATTCTGAAATATTACTAGAAATTAAAATAACTGTTTTCTATTTAAATATTTTTAAAAATGTCATTCATTCCTGTGATGCAAAGCTGAATTTTCAGCATCAGTGTCACATGATCCTTCAGAAATCATTCTGATATGCTAATTTGCTGCTCAAGAAACATTTCTTATTATTATCAATGTATTATCAAAAGTTTTTGCTGCTTAATACTTTTGTGGATACTATGATTCATTATTGTATTCTTTTATGAATAGAACGTTCAAAGGAACAGCATTTATTTGAAATTATAAAATGTCTTTACTGTCAGTTTTGATCAATTTAATACATCCTTGCTGAATGAAAGTAGATTAGATAGATAGATAGATAGATAGATAGATAGATAGATAGATAGATAGATAGATAGATAGATAGATAGATAGATAGATAGATAGATAGATAGATGGATAGATGGATAGATGGATGGATGGATGGATGGATGGATGGATGGATGGATGGATGGATGGATAGATGGATAGATGAAAAAGGTATAACCAGCACTTTTTAAATCGGACAGATGGTAATGAAAAAATAATCACTCTCTGGAATCTCTTGCTGGCACAAGGTGGGAGAACTGGATTCTAAGGTTACAAAAGCTGTCTGGCTTAGCAGTGTAGACTAACCCTAAAGCTGTCCTGTTTTACACACACCACTCTGAGAGGATTACGTTCAGCTCAGTACGTGAAGACTTTGGCCTACTCGCTCTTTTCTCTCTGATGGTATAGGCACCGTCTAATGAACTTTAAATTGAGTCTTTTCATTGTATATGACAGACAGAATGTAAAAATATTTCATCTAAAATTATGATGAAATTCAAGGTCTAACATGTGAGCAGATAACACAGATATTGTGAATTAAAGGTTCAGTCAGTGAGAGTGTTCAAGCACACGTGTTTGTGTGAGAGTACATAAGCTAAATGAGGTACAGACAGTTTAATCCACCTTAATTTTCTGTAAAGAGTACAACACAGGTTAGCAGAGGGCAAAACAGAAAGCAGATAATCAGTGTCCTTCCGTGACAGGAAGGGGTACGTAAAAAAAGAAAACTAGAAGAGGAACTTCATGTATGTCTGCCGTCAGTGGACAGGACGCTTCTGTCGGGCATCATTATCCACCATATGGCTTAGTGACCCTTCATGGCAGCGTGAGCTGGGAAATCTTCTTTACTTATCACACTATACTGACAGGAAATGACATTAGCTTTAAAGAGATCTAAGATGGTGAGAAAGACAGAAAATAAAAGGAGAGGAGAGGAAGAGGGGAGGTGGATCTGAGGTCACAGAGGTCAGAATATCTTCGTCTCAGGGCCAAATTAGCTTAGGAGTAACTATGGAAACTGAACACTTGCTGGGTCAGTCTGAGTGGAGCTCGTTTTCCTGGGCCGGGGGTGGGGATTGAGTGCTTGTGTGGGTGTCAGACGGATCTGCATCCTACACAGTAAAACATGCTAAAAGTGTTCTTAAAATAGTTTTTTGGGAACATAATGTGTGCATGAAAAATACTCCTAAAATATCCACTTTTTCGTTTTGTTTGCTTTAAGATCGTTGTGTAAGCCACATTTTAAGATAGATGTGAGTGTGTTCACACTAAGATCAGTGTGTAAGCTCTCAATTGTGTTGTGTAAGAACAGTCTGTGTGTTCTGAGAGTGATAAGATGTTTCTGTTCTAAAAGTAACACTTCCGTGTTGATTAAAGTGTCTGGGCAAATGCATTGCAAAGTCTGGAACTGACAATCCGGAATTCAAAATCGAATTTATTTCTGGAAAGAAACAAAGATTTGGGATTTTTAACAATTTAGAGTAAAGGAACATTATGATGTTCTATCTTACACTAAAATTAGAAGCATTTTCGCTTGTAGTATCAGACTTTGGGAACCTACTTGTCACTGCTATTATGATCTGTACACTGGTTGCTCCCCAAATCGAGACAAGTTAAGTCATGTTTATCCATTTACTCCTTCAAAGCAGCTTCACAATAATAGAAAAATAAGAGAATCAATGATGCAAACTTACAAAAATGCATCATTTCGCTTCAGAAGGCATTTTTTAACCCCCTGGTGCCGTATGGATTACTTTTATGATGGATGGATGCGCTTTTTGGAGCTTCAAAAACTCTATTCACTCCCATTATAAAGCGTGGAAGAGCCAGGATATTTTTTTTATATAACTCCAATTGTGTTTGGCTGAAAGAAGAAAGTCATATACACTTAGGATGGCTTGAGGTTGTATAAATTATGGGATCATTTTAATTTTAGGTGAACTAACCCTTTAATGTGACCGTAAAAAGGTTTAAGAATCAAATTTTACCCTTGTGGGGACATTTGATTCCCACAAACATATCAAAAGTTAACACACATACACACTTCTGAACTATATAGACCCCTTCACGCTTCACCTTATTTTCACAAAACGCTGCCCCATTCCAGCTACGCTGCCTTGCTACACACAATGCTCAACATGTGCACACAGACACACACACACAACACCTCATTCCTTTTGCCCATTCATTAATATCTTCCGCCTGAATGAATATTTGGGATGAAGGTCTGATCAAAGCGACATTGAGGGGGCCAGGGCTGCAAAGTGGTTGAGAGAAGTTGAGGGAGTGTTTAGGGGGACGAGGGGCCCCACAATGGTTAAGGATGGGTGGGCCACACTAATGGATCTGAATTGGATGCGCAGTGGGGGTTGAGGGTCGAGGTCATGCAGATAACAGGAATTTGGACTGACTCAAAGAGCTCTCATGGGATTGGTCGATTTGCACGAGAAAATCCCCTGAATGCTTCGCTCCACATTCTGATCTAAAAAATACACACTCATATAAGCAAAATAGGCGATTTACAATACACACAAGGTCGCAAATTACAGGGGATCTCTCAAATTTGAAGAGTTGTTATGACTAAGAAATGTAAAAAAAAATATATATATATATATTCTGAACCTCACAGATGGGCTTGGTATTTGCAATGCTAACTTTTAAGAGATTCTCTCACTTTATTCCTCGGGCTCAGTCGGTCTTACCCAGGATTAAGGTTTGTGATCAACAGCCTGTTATTAACTGATGTCAGTATTACCTTTGTCTTGAATGGTATATGTCTGTTTTTCATTTTTCTGAAAGGTTTTCTGAAGAAAACGCACATGCAAAATTAATCATCACTATGTAAGAATCACGCTATGTGGTTGCTAAGGTGTTCTGTGTGTTTATTTTGTTTGTTTGTTTTTGTAGTTTGCTAAGTAGTTTCTAGATGGTTGCTTACCAGCCTAATCAAATGAACCCACCACCTCCAACTTTCTATGACATTATGGGCCCTAGAAGATATCATATGTTTGTTATTCAAGGTCTATGGGATTTATTTCCCAAAGTTATTGACAAGACATATAGACATCTATCATAAATCTGATTGCTTAAAAAGTTTCAGGACATCTCTCCACTCATGCCTCTTTTATTCCATGTCTATTGGGCAAAATGGTGTAGGTCACCAAACCCCAAGCCCCAAACCCCAAGTATGATCAAAGAAATGACATAACTTTTACTTGGAATTTACATCGGGTTTCCCGTCTGTGATATGCATCAGTTAGAGGTACCATATTAAATCCTGTCTTTCTTTCTCTAGGGATATTCTGTTCCGGGTCATCTGATTTGTGTGCATCTTCTCCGTGTCAGAATGGGGCGACATGCGTAGATACAATGGATGATTACGTGTGTTTGTGTTCACGGGAAGGAGTACGGTACATGGGGAGGGACTGTGCGGAGCTGTACAACGGTTGTGTGTTTGCTGAATGTGAAGGGTGTGTCGGTGAACCTGGCACAGAGCACTACACTTGTCCAGAGGACATCAATGAGTGTGAAAGTGGGCCGTGTGTCGGTGCCCACTCTGAGTGTGTGGACGAGCTGAATGGCTTCAAATGTTTGTGCCCACCTGGTTTTGGAGGAGAGGACTGCAGTCGTCGCATCACAGACTGTGTTGATGAACCCTGCCTCAACAATGGCACCTGTAGACGTATAGTGGATGGATTTGAATGCACTTGTTCAGACGGTTTTCGTGGTGAGACCTGCGAAGAGGACCTGGATGAGTGTGATTCACATCCCTGTCAGAACGGTGCAATCTGTCTGGATGGGGCCAACACGTTTTACTGCTTCTGCGTACCTGGATACCAAGGACACAACTGTGAGATTGACATTAATGAGTGTGCATCGAGACCTTGTAGGAACAATGGAACATGTATTAATGGGAAAGACCGCTACCTGTGTGAATGCCTGCTGGGATATACAGGTAATCTGTGGGTGTGGGTGAACATATTATTAACTTGTTTGAAACCTTAAGTTTGCACATTTTGTAACTGTATGCTAAGAGTCTAAAGCAGGGGAGCCCAATCCTAATGCTGACAGGCAAAGGTCCTGCAAAAAATAGTTCCAACACACTAATTTCAGGTAATCCTAGTAAATCTTAATGGCTGATTCAGATTTGTTTTATTAGGGTTGGAACTAAACTCTGCAGGACTATGGCTCTCCAGAAGTAGGATTGGGCACTCCTGGTCTACATGGATGTTGACAGCAATTAATAACGGGTACTTGCCAAGTCGCAAGCTGTTCTTTATAGGGCATCTGATTTTTTAAGTCATGTATTGTGTTTTATATCTCTGTAGGAGTGAACTGTGAGATGGAGATTGATGAATGCCAGTCAAATCCCTGTCAAAATGGAGCCACCTGTCTTGACCTAGTGGGGTTGTACACCTGTGACTGTGTGCAGGGGTTTGAAGGTTCCGACTGTGAAACCAATATCGATGAATGTGAGAGTGATCCATGTCAGAATGGAGGAATCTGCCACGACTTTATTGATAGGTAACGGAACTCTAGAATTGTGGGAATGCCTGACAGAGTCATGTCCATGCACTTCCCATTATTGTTTCACTTACTCACTGTGAGTAAAACAAATGTTACATGTTAGTCAGACATACTCTTCCTATCTAAGTGGTTGATTATTGGCCAAAAAAAGCTGTAATGCAGAGCAGATTTTATGCTGATATTTAAAATAGTCTGATTCTGTGTGTTTGTATGCAGTTATGAGTGTGAATGTGAAGGCACTGGTTTTATGGGGGACCACTGTGAGGAGGATATTCCGGAGTGTGCATCTCATCCTTGCCAACATGGAGCTACTTGTCTAGAAGCCATTAACCACTACAACTGTTCCTGTTGGCCAGGTAGCTCTCCTTTATCCAAAACCGCACTCAAGTCTTTCAAGTCTTTATATAACCTTAACTCTGCAACAAACTGAAACAATGTTAATGTGTGTATAGGTTTTGAAGGAGATAACTGTGAGGTGGATATAGATGAATGTGCTGATACTCCCTGTGAGAACGATGGTGAATGTTTTGAGAAGTCAAATCCAGAACTCTGGGAAACGGACTGGGAGTTCACCTACGCCACAGCTGTGGGTTACGTCTGTCAGTGCCAACCAGGATACACAGGTACCGGAAACATAAAAACAGATGTAAATGTAAAACAGTACAGTAAAACAATACACCGACATTGCAACCGCTTTCATTTTAAGAACTTGTTCCAGAGTTGAGCCTAACTATTTTGTGACCCAATATATGATTGAATGGGTGGTGAAGGTTACTCAAGTAATGACACAATGTTTTACCTGAAAAGAGTTTTGTCATGCTGTTTATGTGTTTTGTTTGTTTATTTCCACAGGAGAGAACTGTTCAGTGAACATAAACGAGTGTGTATCTGAGCCTTGTCACAATGGAGGAAGCTGTGAGGATTTGATTAACGGATACACGTGTCTATGCCCGGAGGGGTTTGCAGGTTAGTGTTTGCATATGGGGAAACTGTTTGCATGTGTATTTGTCTTTATTGTTCATTTTGGTCTGTCTTTCTCAGGCGTGGAGTGTGAGGTTAATATAGATGAGTGTGAGAGTGCCCCCTGCCTGAATGGAGGTGTATGTGAAGATGGAGTAGCTGAATACAAGTGCCAATGTGCAGAAGCTGAGGAAGGTCACCTGCCATGGGGGGGTCCCCAATGCACTGTGCAGCTGCTTGGTTGCATTGAGCATACCTGCCAAAATGGCGCCACCTGCTTGCCGTGGTTAGATGAACAGACACATGGACATACTTGCCTTTGTCCTCCTGGTTTCTATGATGACATATGTTCTACACCAACCACATTTTCCTTCTCGTCACTGAGGTTCTTTCTGATTGAGGTTCCACCACTCGAGCGCAGAAGGAGAGACACAGAACACGAGCACCCTCTGGGGGTTCGTCTGCGCTTCCGAACCACTCTGCCGGACATGCTGCTGTTCTTTCGTGGCAATGCTGAGCTCTTCTTATCCCTAGAGATTGTTGGGGGTGAGCTGCATGCTAAGGCAATATCTAAGGAGGGAGGGTCACTGGAGGCACAATTACCAGGGCTTGTAAGTGATGGAGGTTGGCATGAGGCAATGGTGACCATTGATGAACAGGATATCAGACTTGTGCTTCAGGTCAAAGGTCCAGGCTGTGACAATCAAGTATGCAGAGCTGAAGACAAGCAACCAAATGATCATGAAATTTTCTTGCACCACGAGACGTTCACAAAGGTATATGTGGGTGGAGTACCAGAGGAGTACATGGAGCTTACATTGAGCGGCCATGGCTTTTTGGGCTGTATGGAGGACCTACAGATTGATGGCCATCCTGTCCTGCCCCATGATCTGGATGACAAGGAGGAAAGTGTAGAGTTAGGCTGTATAAAGACAGAATGGTGCGAGGTGGACCCACATCCTTGCTCTCAACAAGGGCACTGTGTTGACCTCTGGACGAGCTACCGCTGTAACTGTTATAGACCACACTATGGACATGACTGCAGCCAAGGTGTGCATAAGCATATCCTCATACACTCAAACATTGATCTTGTTGTAATGTGTAGAGCTGGGATATTCCGATCTGGTGCTGAAGGGCAACTGTTCTGCCAGGTTTAGCTCTAACCCTATACAAACACACCTGAACAAACTAATCAAGATGATTACTTGAAAATACAGGCAAGTGTGTTTGATTCTGGTGGGACTGAAACTCTGCAGGACAGTGGCCCTCCAGGACTGCAGTTGAATAGTTTTGGTGTAGAGGAAACCAAACTTATACAATAATAAAACATTGGCACATTATCATACTTGATTTTTGTCTCTATTTCTCTTTATTTTCCAGATTTTTCCTCTTGGACATTTGGTCATGAGAATTCCACAAGCTTTCTTCCATTTGCACTGCTGTCTGATATTGGCAGGAACTTTAGTGTCTCATTCTTCCTACGATCACTTAAATCAAGTGGATTATTATTTCAGCTACGAAGGGCAGGCCTTCAGGAGACCGAGGGAGATGATCCTTATTTTACCATGTACCTGGAAATGGGACGAGTACAGGTGACCTCTGTAGCGGAGTCACCCACCCTATCATCACCAGTGTTTGTCTGTAATGGAGAGAAGCCACTGCTTCAGTTGGACATACAGGAGGGTCAGGTATTCTTTAGTCATGGAGGATTGCGCTATAGGCTTGGCTCACTGCCTGACATGGAAGTTTTGAAGGGAGACCTGGTGTATGTTGGTGGAGTACCAGGTGAAGAGGGTGCAACGGATTGGGGTGGGCACTTTAAGGGATGCCTGCAGGATCTGAGACTAGACGATGTGCATCTGGAAGTGGAAGCCTGGAATAGTACCCTCAGTGAAACTATATATTTCTCCAGTGATGCAGAAAATGTGCTACCTGGATGCATGAGTGATGACACATGCAAGGTATGTAGACTTACATTTTTGTTTTCATTTCATGAGACCTGTTTGCAATGATAATTACAGTTGGAAAGAGCTGTCGTTGTGCAATTGGTTTGCAGGTGGAGCCTTGCTTGAATGGTGGAGAGTGTACAGTCACATGGAATGACTTTACTTGTTCCTGTCCACGGGATTTCACTGGAAAGACATGTGAAACCAAAGTTTGGTGTGTCAGCGACCCGTGCTTAAATGGTGGACGCTGCATGGATCTGTTGGATGGTTTTGAGTGTATGCTTATCTCGAATACCTAGCTGATATTCTTCAGTTTCTTGTTTGCTTCCTGAACATCCTATTGGCAAAATAATTCAAATATTATTAATGTATAAATGTTTATAATCGAGTAGTAAATATAAATGTATGTAAAAAAAAAATGTTTTTTTCTTACCAGGCATTGCTAATGCAACCTTTGACAACACACCCTTACACTACAGTGCTAAGGGATCTGTAGTTGACCCAGTGACCAATGTTACCATGGAGCTCCGTACAAGGCAGGAAAATGGTGTGCTACTTCGTGCATGGAGAGGGGTGGAACTTCTACTGGTTGGTCTGTTGGATTCAGCCATTTATGTGGAGCTTCATACAGAGAACAGTGTGGAGCCAGTAAAATTCTCTGGACAGAGACACATTGCAGATGGAACCTGGCATCGCCTGCTTGTTGCCATGGCCAACCCAGAGCGTGATGCATCACAGTGGTTGGTTTTGGTGGATGGCATCATTGATGGTAGCAGTGCCCCAGTGCTTGCTGGTAGTTTAAGTTTTCTTAAAGACTTGTCAAGTGAAGTTGCACTGGCAGAGACGTACACAGGATGTCTAGGTGCTGTCAGAGTAGGTGAGGTGTATCTTCCATTTGTAGACAATGCCAAATCACCCCAAACATCTCGGTTTTGGCGGAGACAAGATGAGCGTGTGCACATAGGGTGCTCCGGGGCTCCAGTGTGCCACTCTCATCCTTGCAGGCGTGGTGGTACATGTGTGGATCTCTTCAATTCTTTTGGCTGCCAGTGCTCACCCGGCTGGGAAGGGATCACCTGCGAGAAAGAAACAGACGAGTGTGTCTCAGGACCCTGTCTCCATGGCAAATGCAAGGACAAGTTTAATGGGTTTGACTGCTTGTGTCACCCAGGATATGCTGGACCTACATGTTCGGAAAACATAGACGACTGCAAAGGATCGGAGTGTAAGAACGGGGGAACCTGTGTGGATGGAGTTAATGACTACACCTGTATCTGTCCCCCTAAGTACAGTGGAACACGTTGTCAGTGAGTTCCTACAGATCACACATTGATGCCTAGACTTGACTCAGCCATAACTTAGACTCCATTTACAATACATACGCCATTCCACAGGGTTATAATGTGGCCTTCATATTACAACCAATTGCAAAACTGCTTGCAATTGTAAATACTAATGAACGCCAGTGGAAAAAAAATTAAATAGTTCACTATCCATTTTTCTATTTTATACAGTTATTTCTTGTTACCCAAGTTTGAATGAACCAGTGAGGCTGCATCCTTATCTGTTTGGGAGTTTGAGCATTTGTTTGTTTGTGTTCTTGTGCATCAGGTATAACTACCCTCCTCTTAAATGTCAACTGGATTTTGAATGTGAAAATGATGGCATTTGTCATGACACTGAGTGGGGGGCAAACTGCTCCTGCCTTCCAGGATTCACAGGAGACAGGTGGAATTAACACTTGCGTTCTTGTCCAATAGAAATAAATTGAATATACAAATACTGATATAGATGACTAAGTCTTCAAGTTTTTTCCCCCCACAGATGTGAGAGAGAAATGGATGAGTGTGCATCTAGCCCATGTCTAAACGGTGGATCGTGTCTGGATCGGCTGAACCGGTTTCAATGTTTGTGTCCAGCAGGATTCAGTGGGCAGTTCTGTGAAACAAATGTAAGTAAACACAGAGTATAATACAATTTAGGAGCTAAAATAAGAATGCAAACTAGTTGAGTAGTGTTGATTGTTACTTTTTATACCTGCCAACAACATCAATTTGAATCTCTCTCTGCAGAAGCAGGCTCAGCAAGATCATATACCATGGCTGGCGATTGCGGTTCCATTGGTATGTGGCTGTATCCTCTTGGTGGCTATTGGTCTCATTTTCATGTTGATGACAGCACGCAGGAAGCGGCAATCAGAAGGAACTTATTCCCCAAGCCATCAGGAAGTTGCAGGTGCTCGCCTGGAGATGGATAGCATGCTGAAAGTACCACCTGAAGAGCGTCTAATTTGAGACATGTGGACAAGGTGACAAAAACAGATATAGACAAGGGGGCTCTAATACTATCGGAGTGACTAAACAACCTTTTCAAGACCATGTAGTGTTATGGAGCAACAATAATAAGCAAGTGCTACATCAAACAAGCAACCTATAGATCAACTGTAATACAAATAAAGAGGAAAAATTTAAATGAGAAGTCATTAAATATGGTTGATCTTTCACCATAGATTTTGTCGAGACCAACAACTCTGGAATTTAACCAGCAACTCTCTCAAGTCTAGTTGAACTTGAACGTTGTGATTCTTTACCTCACACGGCATTATATGCCTGAACGACTTTGACAAAGTGTCATACAGTAAAGAGGCAAACATATGAGTTTACATTCTCCCCACACTTCCACAGCATTTAAAATCTTTAACAAATCCCTCTCAAAGATAAACGCTGAAAGTAGTGCTAATGATGGAGAAAGCACCATTTTGAAAGTATTTTTTTCCACAGCATTTGAATGTACAAGGTATGATATCTGTAGCAAGACTGTTGTGTTAACTAGCTACTATTTCTGCTGTAGGCAACACTGGATATGATAATTGACACTAAGGAATGTGTCTTCATATTCATGCCAATGTGAATAATTAGCTATACATTAGCATTTACAGGGGAGGGGAACAACAAACTAGTTACCCTTTTAGGCCCTGTTTACACCTGGTATTAAGATGTGTTTTGGTCGATCGGATCACAAGTAGACGAGGGAGACACATTCCTGTTTACACCTGGTGTTTTAATCCATCTCTTTTGTCCACTTTCGACCACTTCTGTCCTGATCTTTTTTTGGGGGGGGGGGGGGGGGGGGGTCTGTTGGTGGGTAAAAATATGGGCTTTTTTCAAATCTAATGGACGAAATAAGCTTGCGCAATTAACAAATGAACGCAAAAGGGGACGGCAGAAAAACTATGGAGAGCATCAGCTTTCTTTTTTGCTCTGATAGCCGCAAGACCACACCGAACGCTGTGAATGTGTGTTGGAAATCAGGAGAGAACAATGAGTTTGGTACGTTTTTATTCTTCAAACCAAACTGAAGTCTTCTTCAGCTGGCAAAGTTTAAATCCTTTTGCGGTTGTTCGAACACATTCGATAACATGAGCGTTTACAGTACGAAAAGTAATCCGCAAGATTACAAGACCTCTGGAAGTGTTCGAAAGTAAACAAGCGCAAAATGTTTTAGACCCCGTTTACACCTGTATATTTAGCATCGTCCACTTGTGATCGGATTGACGAAAACGCTAAATACAAGGGCCTTAACGTAATAAAAAATTATATATTTTTTGCTTTGGGGCATAACTTTTTAAGCATTGTTGCGTTCACATTGTGTCAGAATTACCCTACGCATTTATGATTACTAAAAACTATTCACTTTGTCTTTGTTGAGCACATTTCTGTAATATAAACAACCAAAAAGACTACAATTAATGCGAGTTAGTTGGCAATATCCCTAGGTTTATATTTGATATGACATTTTATTTTAGCCAATAACCTGCACTTTCACTATTCAATATTTGAGACAGCAAAGAGAAATAAATTAATGTATTGATTATTTTTTTTTTGCTATCATTGACAAAGCTGCATATGGTGCTATTAATCTGTCATGGATGGAGTCACAAGACAAATAACTTTAAGTAGAATCTGAGCATTGTAATCTTGTAATTATGGTCATTCCAACAAAACTGTGAATGCAGCATAATCTGATTGAGACCGTTATTGGAAAAACTGTGAACATTTTACTGTTTGACAATCACCGCACTTCACATTTTTTTTATGGGGGGGGTGCGATTATACACATACCAGTGTGAGACTACTAAAGATACAAACACCAAACTCAATGTTTATACACACTTACCTCTGGAATACACATGCAAACATGAACGCCATGAGTGGTAAAATAAAATTCTGCCTGTGTATATGAAGATAAAAACAGAGAGATGAGATGAACATAAGAACAAATCCTTGCTGATGCCTAAATGCTGTAAAAACTGAGTGAATGCAAGTTGCATTAATTTTACAAGTTGTATGTATATGTTGTAAATTGTGGCTATAATTTGTGTTTTCTGGTCTGTTGTGTATCTGGCTTCCTTCAAATGTATGCTTAGGAATTACTAAAACTAAAAAGTACAGTGTGAACTGCAACATCAACATAGGAATATATTTTTGAATGTGTAAATGTGCAAAAACTGTTTAATAAAGGTGTTTGTGTTTAAATGTGTAAATGGAGTAAAGGTCGGATCCATGATTATTTGTGCTTGACTTTTTAAAATGTCATCACTATTGCTTGTAATTAGCAGCACTTAATTAACATGTTAAACACCCCTAAAATAATAATACATAACAATATGTGCAATAAGAATGAGAATGGTTAAAAATAAATAAATGGGAGCAAAACAAATGTCAAGCTCACGACTTTCACAGGAATACTGTGCTTTTTAATTATGGCAAACACCAAAAATAACATCCAAATAAAAATTAAAAAAAGTGCAAAATGATAAACAGGATATGAGTTCACATTAGGATACATTCCAAGAGAAAATTGTATTTTACACATCAGAAATGCATTTTGATAATTCCATCTTGCTGAGAGCCGCCATATCCAAACATCAAAGGATCCTGTCAAAATACTATAGGTCGTATAATGGTTGTTAAATCCATGCTAAGTCATACTTTCAAAACCAGTTTTGTATTTGACATTTTTTTCGCTCTCAGAATACATGGTCACATTCAGGGACGTGCCTCTTTGTCTGTTGTACAGTGATGTGCAACACTTTACCCAGTACAACATTTAACACTTAACACACTTTAATGACTTGCCAGTTAAATATTGCCTTTTAAACCACTGTGTATATCACAGATTCAGCTCATCTGACAGTTGAAGAAAAAATAACAAAAATACTGTATCTGCTTCAGCCAAAATTGTAAAGGTACTGTTTTTTTTTTTTAGATATTTCAACTTTAAGTCTATTTTTGCCATTTTAAATTAGCACTTGATATGCGAACACACATTTTGATGTAAATAATGTAAAGTTTTGCATTTATCAAACATTACAGTCAGTGTATTCTTTAAGGGTGACTCGTAAAAAGTTCCAATTGTGTTTTAGCATCCATTTCTGCTAAACATTTTCTTTAAAACTTTCCGTATGAATGATTTACTAAGGACAGTGTTTGCAGTACCAATCATATATCAACCTAACAGCCCAAGTGAACATGTGGAAATCATCTTATAACAAAGTCAATATTTGAACCAAAATGTCTGAACAACCCATGCTGTAAGACTAGGTATACACAACAAACCTCAGCAAAACAGCTCTGAACTTCCACACACACACACACACACACACACACACACACACACTTGCAAGGACCAACTTAAACTCACTCTTTAAGGCCCAAATGAAAAGGTGGTCCAAACGGATCAACTAACAGAAAATGTGATTTTTTTTAACAGCTCTACAGGGTGGATACAGATGTTCAAGAACACTTTAATAACACAAATAACATTATTTCATATATTTAAATACAACAATAAAACCAGAGAAGAAGAGACACCAATTCACTCCCTGATGTTCCCTGACATGGACAAAATAACAGGTTTCTTTTGGATTTGAGCATTTGGTTGTACACAATTCTTTTCCATGTCAAGATCTGCACAAACAGTGTTCTCCTACTTGCAAGTCTCAGACAAAAATATAGCAAAAAATGGCATGAAACAATGCTCCTCCAAAACAGATTGTGTATCGTGCTAAACTAAACCCAATAAACAGGCACAGTCTATGACAAGAAAAACAGCTTTTAGAGTTAGGATTCATTTTAACACACTTTATAGCAGTATGTATGTTTAAAAAGCGCAAAACAGATCCATTCGAATAAATACCCATAATGCAGAGTGCATGGCAGTAGCAGATTAGATGGAACGGGTAGTGCTAAAAAGAAAGGTCTGATTGGTCGCTTTATGAAAGCTATAAGTCTATTATATGATGCTCAGAATAAAAGAAGATTTCAAACTTCGACATCAAATCAAAGCAAGTGGACAATTAGCATCTAAACTAAACTATTTTGAAACTGAACAGAACCCAGTTCCAGGAGACCCATTTTAACACTTTTGGACTGACACGCAGGCAAGCGGAAGAGGTAAAGCCTGTACCAGTAAGGGGTTTCCCACATATTTAATCTAATAAAATGAAAAAACGCACTCTTGATCAGTTTACCTTATTTAATGACACTTTTTGGGTCAAGAGCTAATGCATCAAATGCATCCTGCATTTTTGACCTCTAAAATAACTGACCTCTAGGGGCAGTGTTGTGTTCTGCAGGGCTGTTAATTCTGACCCGTTCTGAGCTCTATGCAGCGAGTAGTATATAGCTTGTACTAGGGCACAACATGTAGTGCAGTATGCACTGTAGTATAACGTATGTAATGTAGTGCAAATATGAAGTACACAGCAGGTACCGCAGCCACAACATGTAGTATGCAATGTGTATTTTAGGGTGCAGAATGTCATATGCTCTTGTGTCATGTAGTAGGTAGAGTGGAATGTGTAGTATACAATTTACTAGGGATACACAATATTTGTATTCAAGTGTGTTAGAAATGTCAATTTAACAATTGTTTGTATACGTATGAACAAGAATGTGGATGTTAGGGTATGATGATTTAAATCAATATATGTGTATGGTTAAAAATTAAGCTTTTTATTAAAACAGCACTGACTGTTAACAGGATGCAGTTTACTGCCATAAAAGCAATGTCAGTATAATCGCTAATGTTAGGATGTGGGTCATTATTGTATGGTAATGGTATCTTTAATATTGTAGTCTGATCCCTATGGGAACTACACTGCTAGCTACAGAAAATACAGTGTTATTCTGCTAATATGTTTTTCAGTGTTAAAATTGGTGCTATTGGAGCAACACGGTTTATCCAGTTGTTATGGGAAATACAGCATTAGCATCAGTGTGCATAAGGCTAAGTGAGTGAGCTAGGCGCGAAAAAAGCACAACACACTCTGGAGGAAAATGTCAACAGTGCTTTCAGGCCACTAGGAGGCGCAGTCTTAAATACCCACTGGCTCTAAATTTGCAGTCCTTCACTGGTTGGTAGCAGCAGTAGAGGAAATATGTGGGCAGAGCTAGTCGAAAGTTTCCCACCTTCTCCGTAAGTCCTCCACCTTTTTTGGGGGGGGCGTGGCCATTACTGTTGGTGTGGTTGCCATGGTAAGAAGGTCACTAAACGGGTCTGTGGAGACTTGCGCAGGCTGGGCAAGAGTAGCCGGAGCAGGCGAGTCTAAGAGGCTTGAGAGAGAGCCACTACTGCTGGAGGATGGAGGAACGCGCCCAGTTGACCACGCCCCTCCTGTTGGGGTCACAACCACAGCAGACGCCTGACCATATACTGAGAACGGGCGAGCAGAGGTGGGGAAGTAGTTGGCACCTGGGGAAGGCATGTAGGCTGGGGTGAAAGGGTTACCTGGGGCAACAGGACTATAGTGCCTTTGTGGCGGGTACTGGGACTGTTGGGTGAAGGGGTTCAGTGACACTGGAGGGGGGAACGCGGGCAGGTTTGGGGGGTTGGGTCGAGGAGGTATAGGGGGTTTAGAGAGGGATGGGGCAGCCTCGTTCTTCATTGTTCCGCATAGAGGGTCCAACAAGCTGAGCAAATCCAGTCCCTGTTCCTCGTTTGGCTTCAACAAGTCTGCCTGAGTTTGGGCTTGGGAGTGGGGAGACATGTTCAGCGCTTGCCGAAACTCCTGCCCTCCAGTGGACCCCCCTCCCTCCTTCTCGCAGACCTGCTTGACCCCGCGCAGCAGGGTCACAGCTGGTGCCAGCACTGCACCCGGTTCGGGTGTTTTCCGACCTTGGGGACGAGGGATTGTGATACAAGCCCCCTCGGTCTTCTCTCCACTGGGATTTGAACTGTCTCTGCTGGGTGGGCGTGCCTCAGGGGGTTCCAAGGGTGGCACGGAGAGAGGTCTCTCCCAGGATAGTGACTCTCGGCCAAGCAACGTAGATGGGTCCTCCAGTTGGCTCCAGAGCTTGTTGTACGGATTGGTGGTTTTAAGACCTGGGAGAGTGCGTGTGCGCTCGCCAGAACTAAGATCCATCCGCTGGAGAAAAAACAATTAGAACAAGTTTTTAGATAGATAGAGACCATGCACACAGATAAATATGGTTGCTTTGGAGTGTTTCACGGTTTAGAGTGTTTACAGGAGTGAAAACTGCAATCCAATCCTAAAACAATCAAGTAGTGACCAGCAAATGTTTGTTAAATGCTTCTCGTTTACCGCCGTGAGATGACAATGCATTGCTATGGTTCTCATCATCAATTATTGTGATTTGGGGAGTGTCTTCTGTATTCTGTGCAAGAGGAACAATAATTTAGGACAGTGTTTATCAAACCTGATCCTGGAGACACAACAACAGTACACATTTTGGATGTCTCCCTTATCTGACACATCCATTTCAGGTCTTGAAGCCTACTAACAAGCTGATGAGTTGAATCAGGTGTGTTTAAATACAAAAAGTTGTATTGCTTCCAGGAACAAGGTTGGGAAACAGTGATTTAGGTGATTCTCTCATGCATTAAATTGTGGCTGTCACTCCCAAAACTTTTCAGTGCTTACATAGGCTAACCTGGTAGTTGAAGTTGGCATGTTGTGGGTCTGCCCGAAGCTCCTCCAAACTCCGTGCAGAACTGATTGTAGTGTGTGTGCTGAGAGATGGTTTTGTGTTATTTGTAGTTTCTGTACATTCTGGTTCCCCCTGCTGACTACGGAAGGCATCCTGCAACAGGCTCAGGTCAGAGAACTTGTGTAGCACAGGGCTGGACGGAGCAGTGTTACCTTGGAAGCGCTCCCCAATCTCCTCACCTTCTTCCACAAGCTCCGCCTCTTTTAGAGACCTGTATGGCTGGGGCCTAAGTCACATACGCAAACAAAAACATATGTGCACAACATCCACGCCACAGAACACAAACAAGCACACGCAACACACAACACATGCACAAACAAGTACAGACACACATTGTAATTTTCATGTTAGATGAAAAGCTGTTGAAATGGGCAGACGGTCAACATACAGTAATAATCAAAATCACTTTACGTAAATAAGCTGTTGCATTCCACAGGCATAATTTTTTTTAAATCTAGCCATGCAATAACACTGATTTAAGCCAGCATTAAAAGACATTTAGCAGGCCGCAGAGTTACTAAATATCATGGTGAGCAGTGGCCCCAAAAACTATTTGGACAATTAAAACACACTTAAAGGTATAGTGGTCATTGCATTAGATAACAACAGGCTCTCACAATAGGCTAACATGCTCTCAGGGCCTGATTGAAGACCAAATACTCTGCCCTATTTTGGATTACTTGCAGACCTTTAATAACATATGCATTAAGGCTGGCTAGAAGAGCACTTCAATAGTCTAAACAAGTCAAAAGATAACAAGAGTTTGGACAAGGAGCTATGTGGCATGCTCAGATCCGAAAGGTTTGATCTTTCTGTTGCTGTATGGAGAAATCTGCATGACTGAGAGGTCGTCATAATATGGTCTGCAAAACAGAGCTGGTCTCCAAACACAAAGTTTGACTATCAAAAATATTTCAAAAACTTTATCATTGGAGACCAAACACACCACCTTATCCTGGGTAGAACACTGGAGAAAAGGATGGGGCCAAGCACCAAACCCTGAGGTACCCCTGTGTGTAGTTGATACAATTCATACTTACAAATTGCTTCTACATGTACCATTAAATTTGACAACTTGAATGTGTTTTGAACAGTATCAGTATATCTAATGCTTCAACAACATGGTTTGATATTTTCTAATCTAATGCAATGACATCCAAACATATTTTAGTGTGTCCAAATACTTTTTGGGGGCACAGTAGGTAAAAAGGCCATCAAATATTCACATTAAGACTTATAGACATTAGAGAAATCAAGAATGAAAACCACTTGAACAGAGACCATTCAAAAGGAGCAGAAAGCACGAAGTGTTCAGGAATAGCAGCAATGGAGTCGTCATCCTGAGACAGCTCGTCACCCGAAGAGTCCTCACACAGAAACACTGTATAGTGACGAGTTGGACGCACATAACTACAGCGTCAACACGCACGCATACAGAGATGCACAGCAGCAACAACAAAAAAGAAAGCATGAACACAAATTGGCAGAGACAGAAAGCCAAGTATCAGGTGTAACCACACACAAATACACAGATCACAAACAACCATCCCAGTGTGAAAGAGAACACAAGAGTGAGAGAGAGAAGGAAAGAGCAAGTGAGACATGCAATCACACAATCAAGACCACAACATTTTTGCTGTGCTAATTTGTATTTGAGGGATAATGTACAGCCTGCCAGCCACCAGTGTTATCGCTAACTAAAAATATTAAAAAACATATTTGTCAATTGAAATAAAATGTAAATTTTAAGTAAAAAACTTTGAATTGAACATGTTAAAATAAAACCAAAACATAAAAATATATATATATATTTTTTTTTTTAAATAACGAAAGTGACAAAAGTACATCAAATTAGTAAACATTAAAATTAAAAGGAAAACTGAAAATGTAAAAGTAAAAGTACAAGCTAAATCAAAAAATGTAAACAAAATTATAATAGTATATAAATTATACTAAAATAACACTTCTACCCACTATTGCAAAATGAAAGGAAATCAGGACCCAGATGCAAAGCAGAGGCATCTTGTATTAAACCAAATAAGTTTATTTTAGCATAATGATCAGCTGGCTGTACATTATCCCACTTATTACATGGATACTAGTCAAATAAAAAAAGAGGGGATTTTTTTTCCCCTTATTTTGAATTAAAGACTGGCTTAAAGCTTCTGCTAAATAGTTCATTACAAATAAAAACAATTGGCCAAACAACAACATAATGTTACAATATTACATTTATATATTATTATCAATCTGCAACTCAAGTTACTTTTTCCTAAGCATTGCTACAATATAGCATGTCTTCTATTTTAAGTTCTCTTTCATCCAGCTCTTTGTGTTTCCTACCAGTTCATTGTTCTTCTGAACAGACAAATATACAGTTTAGAGATCATTAAACAAAAAAAATCTGACCACTCAATGCCATGGTTGTGGAGCAAAATATTCCATATAGCCGTGCAATAAAAACCAACAGAAGCAAAAAGACCATTGTCTATTTGTTTATGTTTTGCAAAAGTATATGTGAGAAGGGTTAAGCATTTAAGTCTTACTGTTCAGGGCTTCCCTCTACCCCAATGTTACTGCGTGGTCTCTTTGCCACCAGAGGACGAGGAGGTCGAGCCTGCAAACACACGCAAATACACGTTTTAAACAGCATTCTAATGTCTAAAAAAGTTCAGGACTTGTTAAATCACTGTTAGGTCAGAGGTTAACTGCTCCCGTCAGGTCAGAGGTCAAAATCCTGTCAAATGTAAACAAAATTGCGGTATCCAAGACCTAAAGAGTGGAAGCCTGAGTAAAGCGCCTTTTAAACCATCCCAAATTGGTAGAGGTTTCCACATTCATTCGGCTCACAGTTTCTTCTATACTGATAGCAAAAGTAAAACTGATTCTGAGACAAAAATGAGCTGAAAAGCTTTTTAAATACACTTTTTCTAGCTCTCAAGATCCAGAATCAGGGCTCGACGGTGTGAGCATTTCACTTGCATTTGTGACTAAAAGATGTGTGCGAACTGTAAAATGTATTTAGAAGTATACGTGCGAATAAACAGTAGATCCCCATGGGTTGTGTCAAATTTAAAGTAAAAAAAACAATTCTTATATATTTTAAAAGTCCTAATTGTCATTTTAGGAGGTCTTAAATTTGAGGATGGAAAACATGAATAGCAATATGGCTTAATGTGATTATTGGCGATTATTTATTTGTGAGCGCTGCACGTTCAAAGTCATAACGTGGCCCTGTTGCGCATTCTAGAGGCTCGTGGTTTCAGAGCAGTTTGCACTCAATGTATTTATTTCAAACGATTGCTTATGAATTATGAGAATGTTTACTTTATGGTGTTTGTATTGTAATGTTTTAGATGGTTGTAAGAGTGCATATTTTAGCTGCCTCATGTTTGATTGAGCAGCTGGAAGCAGTAAAGACATTTCAAAATAAGAGTCCCGGTGTATTTTGATTAAAAGTCCTTAAAAAAAATTCTGGTTATTATTGGCATTTCATTACAAAATAAACTTTATCTTTACATTAATTAAATGCTTAGAATATACATAATTATTAAAGTCCCCATGAAATCAAAGTTTTTGGGCTTTTAGTATGAATATGTTAGCCTTAAGGTTGTCTATCTGTGCTCCAAAACAATGACAAAATTCACATTTGGGATATAAGCTTTCAAAACCTACAGCCTCTCACTTCCGCCAATATGGATCAATGATTTTGATGACATCACTCTGCACTTCAGCTTCTCATCAGATTTTCTGTCCAATCAAATGCTCTCTAGAATCTAAAGCGTCCCGCCCCCTACATTATAAATAGACGTTGAAGCTGTGGCTTAAATCAATCACTCGTTCACAGATTTACTATTTTTTATATAGAGAATGGCACAGTGCACTATATAGGAGATAGTGAACGATTCAGACAGTGTATACATGCATTTCATTGGGGCGAATGAAGTCTGGTTTCACGTTAGTGTCTCGCAAACCACCGTCGCACGCACACAGTCTCCTCCGGTCCGGAGACACGGTAGCACAGAGCGGATCACATGCTCTAGTCGCCGCAGACCAGAAAATCTATCGGACCCATATGAATTCTACACAGAATGCTATATTTTAATTGAGGAGATTAGGAGGAGAAATGGTTAGACACACACGGCATTAGAAACAGCACTGACGAGTAGTAGAGATAACTTTTGTGCCATACACCAACATAAATTACACACTTTTCAAACTACACATCCTCAGCATGATTGTTCAGTTTTTCTTTAGTAAAAGTTTCATATTAAATCTTAAAGTGGAATCTACTGTGGCTTTCATAAGCTGTCAAATTCGGCTTTGCTGAGCTCAACGGCTCAGGCTGAGCTATGATATAAACAAAACACTATTGGCCATTTTTAAAAAGGGGAGGAGCTGCTCTATGTCCCGCCCTGTCTTTCTGCTTCAATGGAAATTACATCAACACATTGAATAACGCTGAGCGTTTCAAGGCACTTCAGTGACCCTTTAAATAAATACAGTTTAAAGCAGAAAAGAAAAGAAAAAAGTAAGTGTCAAACCCTGAGAAGAGATTGAAACCAGAGAAAAAAAGTTTGTGCGGTGGGAAAGTAAGTGCAAACACACATGATAAACTCACTCATGTGTGTGAGCGAGCATTAATCTGTGGAATAGGAACTGAAGTTAGATCACACAGACATGTGAATACACACGCATGCACACAAACAGTGTCCAGCAGAACCCAAATATAACAAACTCCAGTGCAGACGCCAGGTCAGAGGGGAATATTTGAGCTCAGGGTGACAGGTCAGAGGTCAGCGGCATGTACTCACTGGTTGTGTGCTGCGCTGCAGTTTGGAGGGATGGGGGGGAGGGGGGCGTTGTGGCCGCGGGGGCCGTGCCTGATCAGTCTGCTCCAAACATACAAACATGCACACTTTTATCTATGAAAATATGGTTTATCTTACACACTTTCTAAAAATGAACAATTCAACACAGACTAAATGGACTGAATCCTAATTACTATGTCCATGTTAACTGAAATAACTTAAATAATTCCCCACACCCACCTGTCCAAAATGAACTGTGATTGGACGTCTCTGGTCCCAGGTGAGGGAGTCTTTGCTGTGTGTGGAGGGTAAGTTGGTGGAGCCAGGCTCTTCTGAGTAGCCATTCTCTGCAAGCTCCTGGAAGTGAACGAGTTTGAATGACAATGCATGCACATTTGTTTATGCAAAAACAATGAATAATTGTGTTTTTGTGTGTGAGGGTGAATGTTTGAACACCTTTTGTTTGAGTCTACTCTTGACTTCTTTGATGCCCATCTTGGCATGGTCTTTGGCCTGTAGAGGAAACATCAGAAGATCTCTTACACACAGAAAGCACAGAGAAATCTCTCATAATTAAAAGAAAGAAAAATTATGAAATTATTTATATCTTATATAAAAGAGTATAATAAAAATATAGAGAAAATCATAGAGAAACCCCTCTCATGGAGAAAACGATAATCCCCCCACACAGAGACAGCTGAGAAAGAAGTAGCAAATATTTACACATGGATACATACAAATTTGTAAACTGTCTTCATTGCAGGATTTGCCTTTGTCTTCACCGTGTTTAAGATGGCCCCACTGCCCTTCTGTAAGCGAAAGATGAAAAAAGACATCATCAGATATGAGCAAATATTCACACTCACTCCAAAAGAAATATTAGAATAAGTACAGTTCAACCTCTTCAGCACACACACAAACAAAAAGCAAGAAATTTCACCTTCACTGTGAAAAGCCACTGATATGTCTTATCACTGCCTGTAACCGAAATTTTGAACAGACACAGAGACAAGCAAATATAAAAACAGTAACATAGAATTACATTAATTTATTAGCTGTACAGTGACCATACAGACAAAGTGGGAGTCTCTTACCAGCATACTCTCCAATGTTGATCTCCTCCTCAAACTGATCGCTGAACCCTTCACCAGAGTTCAATAGCTCCAGACGGCCGTCTATAAACTGCAAACACACACACACACACAAAATAAAGCAATGATCTCTATGTAGGCGTCTCGCACTGAGAGAAGAACAAATATGACACTTTATAAAAAACAAACAAACATTTTTTTTATCCATTTAAAACAAGTGAAGAAAGAACTCACAAATAGCTTGAACTGATTATGACTAATAACATGTTATGACTAATAATCAGTGTTGGAACACATTACAAGTAACGTGAGTTACATAATCAGGTTACTTTTACAAGTAACTAGTAAGGTACCGCATTGCTTTAAATTTAAAACAAAATATGAGTTACTTTTTCAATCAAGTAACACTAGTTACTTTGTTTTCCCATTTATGTACTGAGTGCTCTCCAGTCCCCATGTTGAGAGAAATAGTGAGTAAGTGCCAAGGCTTTGTATGTGCTGTGTGAGCAAGCATTTACTCAATTGCACAAAAACAGATTCAGCATTTCTCAAAATGAAGAAAAACAGTAAATGCAAACTTGGAATATTACGCAAACCTGCAATAATTAAATATGTTAAAGGTGCTATATGTATTTTTTAGCGGCCTCTATCGGTGATGTTTCGGATTCCAACCAATTTTTACAAGATCGCTCGTGCTCTTGCGCGTGCTCGAACACAAGAGCGAGCACTCATGGTACCGGCCACACTGAGACTTTCAACACACCGGAGAAAGCATCACACAACATGCTGGAAACTCATGTAAACTCCCACTGCAACGTTACAATAATAGGCTACTTTTATCAGCTTGACGTTGAACTAATGCTCCATGCTCGTACCATGATAACGTTACATTGACAGCATTTAGCCGACATGTGGTGTTATCTAGCATAAGGCATTTCACTAACTATTCGTGTATCTTTCACAATCAGCAATGTCAACATAGATGAATGTATAATATGATAACGAAAACGGTTAGTGAACTAGACTGAACAATTTCAGTGTAACAGTAAAATCGTAGGAAGTAACATTACTGTACTGTGTCTGGAAATGTGTATTATAAACAATATGATAGTAGTGGGATGATTGACAGTATATCTAGTACATAAAATAAAAGTTACATCCTAAAGCACCTACTTTTTGTTATCCTGGAACAGTCTTTTGTATTAATTTCATATCTCATGTATGTTGTAGTTTAACTTGCTATTTCATTACAGTTTACCATTAATTATTTCAGCATATCTGAAAACTTGTAATTTATCACAATAAAAATAGCGGAGGTCTCTCCGTAATTCAAACGCTCTGCCGATGTTGATCCGTGTTTTCGTCCTAAGTCGATCCGATTCACGTTTGGCCTGACAAGCTTCAGCAGATACATTACATACATACGTTTTGTTTTTTATATTTATGTGGAGTTTGTGTTGGAGTGTGTGTTGTGCTGGAGGCAGGTCGTTTTTTGGTGTTATCAGACTCCATGTCGTTAGCTGCAGTGCCGTCGCATAGACTGTATATAAAAAGGAGAGAGCCTCAGGAGCGCGCATGCACGTCACATCCGATGGCTTTCGCAGAAAATCCGACCCGGAGACTTCACATAGAAATAGGAATACTGGCCTTCAGAGGTAATAGCAAAACCCGACAAGTGGATCATTGTAAATTGTGATTACAACCCCTTCACACACAGACAATAAAAAAAGGATTCATTTTAGAAGAAAAGTTACATATAGCACCATTAAATTACACAAGTATACTTTATGTATTTAGTCTCACTTTATAAAAACAACAATGTCTTTGTTGCTGACCTTCGATGATCCAATTCAAACATACCAATAGGCAAACATGACTTTAGCTGAACATCACATTTGTGTTTAATTAGTTGTTTTTATTGCTAAAGTAAGAGTGTTGAACTTTCTTCTCCTGCATCCTATTCTTGTGCAATCCAGAATGGCAGCAAGGTTTGTTTGACCTACTGTACAGATGTGAATTTGCATTTCCTTCAGCCTGAGGCTTATTAATTTCACTTTTGGTGTGAAAGGGCCTTTACATTTACCATAAATAGCAATTTACTAAAATGCATTACTTTTTAATAGTAACTTTCCTCAACACTGCTAATAATCATGATGCATTAATCAAGTGCTTACAATATAACTCAGCTATACTTTGGGGACAAAATTCTCTGAAAGTTAGCTAAAGTTGACAAATGCTCTGTGTTTGATTCTAAAATTGCTATTTATACAGAACATGTAAAGCATGAGTATGAGAAGTATGACAGTGGTATTTCAGTATTATTTACATACAATTATAGCAATTTTTTGTATTTTGTTTTTATTTAAATTGTGGTGCAAGTATTCGCAATTTTGTATGAGCCTTTGCCATTTTTATTTGGTTTGGTTTTTTTATATTTCTAATATAGCTTTAATTCAATTTTATTTCAGTTTTAGTCATTTTAGAACTAAAAACCAAATCAACTGTTGTTTTATAATACAAAAGATAAACGTATAAGCTTATAGAATAAATTGAGCAATATTCATAATTAGCTTTATATGAAAACAATAAATGTCTATTGCATGCTCTCGTATAGGTAAACGCATGTAATACCTGTTTAAAGAACTGTAGTTGGATAGCGTTCTGGAGAAACTGTCTCATTGTGCTGGATCTGTGTGTGATGAACGTTTCCTCACTGAACGTGATTGGCTCCTCCTGAACATATGGACACATGGGAAGGAAAAACATGCCGCTTTATACCTGAGCAGCATTTATATTCAGAGAGCTACATGTACTGTCCACTAGAGGACAATGTCTCACAGCTAGCCTGAATATTCTTGCACATTCAACTGCACAAATACCTCATACCTCAAATGCTCAGAGCCAACATTTATAACCATTTCTGAACTTCACTCAGCACATCATAAGCACATCAATACTACTAATGATCTCTCTCACCGGTTCAATGTGTAGCGCGTTCCTGTAACTACCGAACAGAGCTGCCTGCGCCTTCAGAAACGCCCTGGCCACCCCGTCTCCTGTCGTTGAGGAAACTTTCCTTAGGCGGTTCTTTAACGAAGACACCTACAACACACACACACGTATATCACTTATATCATCATTATAAATATATTTCGTTAACACTTTACAATATGGTCTCATTTGTTGTTAAACGCAACTATGAAACAAACAATGAGCAATATATTTTTACAGCAGTTTTTTAAGTGCCCCTATTATGCAAGGCTTGAAATTGCGACCATTTTGGTCGAATATGCTCCCGCAATTTAGTCTGTGCGACCTCAAAAATATTTGGGAGCATTTGTGCGAGTGCACATAATTGTTGTGGTGCTACCTGTTTTTATTTCTCTAAAAAAAGTTTGCTAATTACTGCACAGTATGTGCCTGATGTGAGCTGATACAGTGACCTGTGTTACAATACATTCGGCTCCTGTTATGCTATTTTAAAGGTTCCTAATTTTGCTTTAGAGGTCTTTTACAATAGGTTTGCATGCAACCAAAAAAAACTATTCTCAATCATTTAAAAAAAATTATTGGTAAATGTTGTAGAAATTAACATTAACTAAGATTAATAAATGCTGTAGAAGTATTGGTCTTTGTTAGTTCATGTACCGGTAGTTAACTAATGTAACAAATGAAACATTATAGTAAAGTACCTATATGTATATATATCAGATCATCCCTTCCCGTCATATCAAATTACACACTTACAACTTTTGTGGAGATCTGAGCAGGTTGTGCTTATGCTTATTTACTTACCACATCATTAGGAAGGTTTTGCAGGTCATCAAACGGCGTTTCAAGAGTGTTTGTGTCTACATTGAGAAGTACCACATCATCTAAAGCCATACCTCGCACCTTCTGTTACGACAACAAACACAGATACACACAAAACTTTCTAAATACAGCCTAGAATTTAGCTATGCCTAAACCAATAACCACAACATGGAGAAATATGAATATGCAGTTATGGTAAAATAAGGTCAAATGAGGTCAAATATACCTCCATGAGACTGGAGTGCACGCCGATGAGGTATGGCATTGGAGCGCTAACAAAGAAAAAAACACCACACATCAGTATACTTTATGCCTTTTAAAATGTATTAAATATATGATTATATACAAACATATTGAAAAAAAAAATTTTTTACATTATTACAAAATATTTCTATTTTAAATAAATGCTGTTCTTCTGAACTGTCTATTAATCCAAAAAAAATTAAAAAGGTATCAAGGTTTCCACAAAAATATTAAGAAGCACAACTCTTCTCAACATTAATAATAAAAGAAATGCTTCTTGAGCAGCAAATCGACATAGAGGGATCATGTGACACTAAAGACTGGAGTATTGATGCTAAAAATTCAGCTTTGCATCACAGGAATAAATTACGTATTAAATTGTAATCATATTTCACAATATTTCAGTTTTTACTGTGTTTTTGATCAAATAAATGCAGCCTTGGTGAGCATAAGTGACTTCCTATCTTACCGACTATCTTACCGTTAATGTATTGTATGTAATTGTTAAAATATTTTCGTCTTAAAATATATAAATATATTTAATAAAACCTTAAAATATATTAAAACCTTCTACATCTTGTGAGGAAAGTCTCATGGAGATAAAAGTTAATAACTGAGCCAAATAATGCCCTTATTGATATATAAAAATTGAGGTGAAGTACTAAGCAGCTTAATTTAAAAACAATAGAAATGGGAGGCCCTTCATAAGTATACATGAATAAATGTGAGTGTACTCACCAGCAGTAGTCTATTAAATGCTGTGGCAGGACTGGAATGTAAACATGCTGCCAGAACATGGGATATAACATGGCTGCTGCACCATGAACACATGCGGTTAACTGAGAGAGAAAGAGAGAGGGGGGGGTTTATTAATGCCCCTAAAATGCATAAAGAAGCGACCAATGCTAGAGAGAGATGGTGGTAGAGATGTTGCTCACAGTACTCAGCTTGCTGCAGCTAATAAGGATTCGTCTTTCGTACAGCATGCTAGCGTACAGATGCAGCATGTTATTCACATCCACTGCTACGAAATACTCGGTCAGATTTCTCTGCAAATAAAGAAAAAGACAAATCTGACCAGTTAAAACATTTTGCATGAGTTTCAATGTGTTATATGGCTTAATGACAACTAGTTAGAAGACGTCAGATAATTTTATTTTCAGACAAACTTTATCATTTTAAACGTGTATTCTCAGACATCCTTTAATATTTGTAAAAAGTCTGTTCCAAATTGTAATTAGTCACCATTGTGACTAAATGGTAAAAATGGTAAATGGACTGCATTTATACAGCGCTTTCACAGACACAATGGCCACCAAAGCGCTTTACAATTTGCCTCACATTCACCCATTCACTCACTCATTCATACACCGACGGGCGACGGCAGCCATGCAAGGCGCCATCCAGCTCGTCGGGAGCAGCTGGGGTTAGGTGTCTTGCTCATGGACACCTCGACACTTGGTCAGGTGGAACCGAGGATTGAACCACCAACCTTCCGGTTTGTAGACAACCAACATGAACCACTGAGCCACTGCCGCCCCTAATAGGGTTATTTAGGGACTAATAGGGTTAAGATAACTTGGTCAAGGTAAAGACAGACTTACATTTTCAGGTATACTGGGTAATTCCCTAGGATCAGGCACTGTGAAAAACAAATGCTAGAGAGGGAAAGAGAAAAGTAAAATCGAATTAGAAATGCAATTAGATTTATACAAGAGATGAATGTAATATGAACATCTTGTCGGATGAAAGCATGTGTATTTCTGTATATTAGAGGTCTTCACGGGGCCACTTGGATCTGAAAACCTGAGGTTTCGGGTCCAAAACTTTGACGAGTGCCTTGGACACGGATCGGGTCTGATATTAGTAGCTTCAGGTCTCGGGTAATTTAAGATAAATGTGCTTTTACCAAATGGACCTGAGAATACCCGAATTATTTTATTAAAATATGCCAGCTTTCCACTATTCGTTTCAGGTTTTCAAGTATTTTTATTTTAAACAAATAGATATTAAATAATTATATGACAATATTATCTTTCTTCCTTCTCTGTCAATAAACACTTCTATGGGTAAATTTCCAAACACTCTAATTATATCAGCTTTTGGCTTTTTTTTTTTTTTTTTAAGTATTTATGCACTTCAAGTTTGGTAAGAAGTGATTTGGGCTGATTCAGATCGAGGGACCAGAGAAGACCTCTACTGTATATTACCACACTCAAATGCACAGGCACTCCAGGAACAGGGATGCTTAACACATGTAGAGACTCTAACAATTCTCTCCATTGACTGTCCTGTAACACAAATACACACAGATTTAAAAAAAAACTTTTTACACTTTTGCTACACTTCTGGGGTCAAACAGCTGAAAATATCCTCATAAATGATTTGCACTACCATTCAAAAGTTTGAGGTTGGTAAGATTTTTTTTAATGTAAAAATGTATGTCTCTTATGCTCACAAGGCTGCATTTATTTAATCAAAAATGCATTTAAAACAGTAATATTGTGAACTATTATTACAATTTAAAATATTTTCAAATATAATATTTAATAATAATTTAAATGTAATTTATTCCTGTGATTTAAACCTATAATTTAGGGTCAGGGTTACAGTTTTTCAAGGGAATTGTAATTAAGGCCTTAATGTAAAGTAGGAAATCAGTGAGAAATCCTCATTTACATGGCTAATTAAATGTGTAAATTTGTGCATAAAAGACCCAGTGACATATGATATATGACATATATTGTCATACGTGCACCACTGACCTGTCCTTTGGTTGAATAGTCTGCCAGGATATTCAACAGCTTGTAAAACACCTCAAACCAGGGCAGGTAGCTGAACAGAGACAGATAGACTACAATTAGATCAACTTGATCTGCAGGAGGTGGATGACCAAAATTGTTTCTTTTAAATGAAAATGTAAACTTGTACTCTCAAAACCAACAATTTGTACCTGAGGATGCAGTGACAGCTGTGAGCTCCCGATGAGAGGCGACAGAAACCAAAGCGCTGTTTACTCTCGATATCCGTTAGAACAAAGGTGAAGTTCTGCCCCACGTGGCCCACTGACATACTGAAAGACAAGACAGGGTCAAAGACAAAATTAGAGTCAAAACGTATAAAGAAGGATTTAGAGAATCTGGAATTAGTAAAAGACAGTGATGCTGGAGGCCCTTCAGAATACAGTGTAAAAATGAGGTTCCTCAATAACTAAACATATTAAAGCTTGCATGTAACATTACCTGTCCATATTGAAGGGGAAACAAAACTTTGGGATAGTCTGTAGCGTTTCCTGAAAACAGATTGAGAGAAAAAAATAACTCATACACTACCAGTCACAAGTTGAGTAATTAAAAACTCGTTTATGTTTTTATATATTTTTAAGTCTCTTATGGTCACCAATGCTGCTTTTATTTGATTAAAAATAAAGTAAAAACAATAATATTGTGAAATATTCTTACAATTTAAAATTACTGTTTTCTATTTGAATATATTTTAAAATGTACTTTATTCCTCTGGTGGTAAAGCTGTATTTTCAGAATCATTACTGTAGTCTTCAGTGTCACAGGATCCTTTTTTATATGCTGATTTTGCTGTGAATTATTATCAATGAGAATCGAAAGAACAACCTTTATTTGAAATGGAAATTTTTTGTAACATTGTAAATGTCTTTACTGTCATATTAATTTCTTTAAATATTACTTACTCAAAACTTTTGAATGGTAGTGCATCACAGTCTCCCAAAAAAATATTACTCCAGTTTTCAACATTGATAATTAGGAAATGTTTCTTGAGCATCAAATCAGCATATTAGAATGATTTCTGAAAGATCGTGTGACACTGAAGTAAATTCAGCTTTGCGTTACAGGAATAAATCACATTTTGAAATATAGTAAAATCAAAAACAGTTGTTTTAAATTGAAATAATATTTCGCAATATATTATTACATTCACACAAAAGGCCCAAATGTAAAGATGACACTGTGTGTGGGACTACCATAGTATCCAAACCCTTGTGTGTGAGCGGTCGCTCTGGTGCCCCTCCATATGGACTTGAGCTTGTGTGTGTGTGTGTGTGTGTGTGTGTGTGTGTGTGTGTGTGTGTGTGTGTGTGTGTGTGTGTGTGTGTTTTCCTGCCCTCATCTGTGTCAGGAGTTAGGGATTATCCCTGGAACAATAGCAAGGGAGGGGACACGGCCCAGATTACAGAGCTTCACCGCTGGTTTCTGAGACCCAGATCGTCCTCTGGGACCACCGGACCCAACAATCAGGGTGAGTAAAGCTGCATGTGCTGTGAAATTGCAAACAACTGGTACACACTTCAGTTCCAGTTATACGCACACACCAGCTTTAGTAGGTGATATCGTCATGACAATGCATCATTAACGTTTCAAAGCAGTTGCTGTGTCAGATATCGCTTCCCATTCCCTATTTAATACATTATAGATTCCTTGATTCCTCCAATCTTTATTTCACTATTTTTACAAGTCATCATCAGTTGATTTTTAAAAATTTTATAAACTATAATATTTCTTAAAGTAGGAAGTAGTGTATATATATACTACCGTTAAAAGACTGGGGCAGTAAGAATTTTTAAAAGAAAGTAATATTTATATATTTTTATTCGGCAAGGACGCACATTTATAAGATTACAAAATATATACATTTCAAATAAATGCTGTTCTTTCTATTCTTCAAAAATCGTGAAAAAAGAAAACCATCACTGTTTCCACTAAAATATTAAAGCTGCAGTCCGTAGCTTTTTTTGGGTTAAAAATTATCCAAAATACATATTTGAGGAAATACATAACCAGCCAGTGTTCAAAACTATCTGCTTGCCTTAGCTCGATTCAAAACGGTAAGCTTGTAATAATGTTTTTAACTCCAGTGGTACTGGTGGATTTCCGCGGGAGATTCGAGCATGTCTTTGCATCATTACGTCACATCTGTACACATAAAGAAGGAGTCTTGGCTAGTATAAGCTATATTGCGTGTGAGGATGCTGGAGGTGGAGATTTATAGCCTTTTCTCACAGCACTTGATATAATTAAACTTATCAATTTGATGGCGGATCCTAGCCTGGGAAAACCCAGACAACTTCTGGCAAATTTAGATTTGCTCTGAAAGTTAGGCTGGTAAAGAGCTCATTCAAGGCCATTTCCAATCCGTCGAAATCGAGGCACCAATCAGAACCCACCGGCCCAAAGTTGCAAGGGTGGTTTTGCGGCTCACAGGCACCAGGGGGGTGCGAGACGACCACCATTCAACACGAAATCAGTAATATAAACATTACAATGACTCCAAAGCTGTTCGGTTAAGGTAAAAAAGTTACTTAGTTCACCTTTAAGCGATTTGAACGTTTTCTTTTTGTTAAAAACCGAGCAAAGAACAACACTCGGCCGCTCTGCATACGTCATCTCCTTCATCGCTCTGATTGGGTTTAGGTCTATCCGCGACGTCCGTTGGGGACGCCCCTCTGGAAATGATTTGTCTCTGACGCTTTGCCAGACCATAACTCAGTTACAACTGAGAATGGTCTGGTGTTAACCAGGCTAGGCGGATCCAGAAAGGTTCAAACGACAATCACCAGTGACAACTAGAGGTTCACCCGCTGTAAAATGCAAAAGACTTCGTTCGGACTTCGGAGTGGCTACAGAAAAAAGACTGCAACCGGCCCATGCGAAAACAAGGATAATATCGGATGGACATTACATGTAGTCACGCAATGCTGACGTTGTTAACATTAACAATTTGAGAACAAAGTATAATTTGCACGGTTTTGCGTGATATAACTTATAAGCGATTGTTAGATTTAATCAGCGCGATTTACTACAATGTCAGAACCAGAACAAAAGTGGATGTTACTTACTTGTTCAGATGACATTTTCCGGTGAAAATTATTATGTTGGTCATACTTCCAAAAAGAATAATCTGTGATTCTGAACGCCAGTATCCACACCGGCGCGGTGACTGACAGCCACACACACACTCTCCTCAAACATTGTGTTCATCCGCGCTGTGCGGTGTGGAAGTACAACTCACGTAAAGTTGATAATTCCGCGAATGACTGCAATTGCAGATTTCGAACAGAGATGGCGACAAAGAGGAAAAACGCCGGACTGCAGCTTTAAGCTGAACTCAACTAAACAGTTTTCAGCATCATGAAGAAGAAGAAGAAGAAGAAGAAGAAGAAGAAGAAGAAGAAGAAGAAGAAGAAGAAGAAGAAGAAGAAGAAGAAGAAGAAGAAGAAGAAGAAGAAGAAGAAGAAGAAGAAGAAGAAGAAGAAGAAGAAGAAGAAGAAGAAGAAGAAGAAGAAGAAGAAGAAGAAGAAGAAGAAGAAGAAGAAGAAGAAGAAGAAGAAGAAGAAGAAGAAGAAGAAGAAGAAGAAGAAGAAGAAATGTTTCTTGAGCAGTAAATCAGCATGTTAGAATGATTTCTGAAGGATCATGTGACACTAAAGACTGGAGTAATGATGCTGAAAATTCAGCTTTGTATCACAGGAATAAATTACATTAAAAATATATATTAACATAGAAAACAGTTATTCAAAATTGTAATAATATTTCACAATATTACTGTTTTTACTGTATTTTTGATTAAATAAATGCAGCCTGGGTGAACAGAAGAGATTTCTTTTAAAAACACATTAAGAAATCTTTCTGACCCCAAACATTTGATTCGGTTATGTACAATTATAAATTAATTAATACAATTATTTATAATTAGAAAATAACTATTCTAATTATGAACAAATAATTTTTTGCTATTAATTTGTTGGTAACGCTATTGTTAAGATTTAATTCAAATGACCAAATAAAAGTTATCACCTGAAGGTAACATGTTTGTCAACTATAGTGGATGTTATTGATGTCTTTATTATAGATTTATACAAAAGTGATCTTATCCAGGTACAAAAAACTGCTCATTACAGATAAAAGAGTTAAGATATTAAAAGACACGGAGCACTCTCAGGCACACAGTATTTACATCAGCATATATGTATTTGCTTGCTAAGTCCCCTTATATAGTGTGTCATTCACTATATGTGGAGTAAGCAGATTTTGGATCCAGCAAACGCATCTTTTCTTTCATTTCCTCTTTGTTAGCCTGAGTCTGAATCCTAAGCAAGTTTGGTAAAACTGCATAAAGACGGTGTTTGGTACCATGGACCCTCTCAGAGAATTACACCCAATCTCTAGTGGTTTAAACTCCATCTGCCAGAACAGGTGCTCATTGCATTATCACTGAGGTGAACAGCAATTATGAGATCCCCACCCCAACATCCCCAGAGAGAGAGAGAGCAAATAATGAAGCGCAAACCTGGTCAGCGTATGTGTCGGGGAAACTCCTTCGCACCTCTGGTCCTGAGAAGAACACACAAATCATATTATTAACAATATATAAACAAATGCACAGATAAAAACGGCTGTTTTCTATATAAGCATGGTCTCAACATGTTGCCAGAATTCAAAACACAATGATTTATTTTCTTTGGTTTAATATGTAAAAACGATGAACCATACACAATAAGACCAGGAACATGAAAATTTATGATTTTGATTACATCCAGATACATACTTTCAGCCAAACTGCATCTTTGAGCACCGTACATGTTATTGTCAGACTATGATGAAACAAACCCTGCATAGTGACATATTTAGGTTATCTTAAGTTTCACAGTCAAATATAAATAAGGGTTGAGATACTGAGTCTGACACAACACTTCTGGGCTGATCTGAAAGGGTTTACTGATTTTAGATGAATATGTGACTGTGTGGATGTGTGCATCATGGGAGGGCTTGTCTCAGGAGAAAACACCCAAGATGCTTTGCTCCTGCTGCCCTCATCAAACCATACGGTCACTAAGCAACAGTCGCCTAGAGGTCTGCATTGGGGAAGTTCTCAAACGCTCATGTACATATTACCAAAGACTTTAGATATAAAAAGATGGTGCACTCATATTACTATGAATGAGAGAAAGTGCAACGCGCAATATAGCGGAATTAGCCCCGCCTTCTTAATAAAAGAGCCAATTGGCACTGCAGCTGCAGTTAGAAGCTCCGGTTGCTTTAGAAACAGTCAGTGTTCTGAGACATTGCTAAAAAAATGTCATAACTTGAGCATTTACAAACTAAATTTATGAGACAGTTAGATATCATTGGTGATTTCAAATATAAAAGATGGCTACAGAGTAAAATGACTTGCCTTAAAGGGACTTTGATTTTACACACACTACCATTCAAAAGTTTGGGGTCAGTAAGATGATCTTTTTTGAAAGAAATGAACACATTTATTCACCAAGGATGTATTAGATCAATTTGACATTAAAGATATAAATGATGTTACAAAAGATTCCTATTTCAAATAAATCATGTTCTTTTGAAATTCCTATTCTATTCCATAAAAATATTAAGCGGCACTCATTTTGAACTCATTTTAACATTGATAATATTACGAAATGTTCCTTGAGCAGCAAATCAGCATATTAGAATGATTTCTGAAGGATCATGTGACACTGAAGACTGGAGTAATGATGCTGAAAATTCATCACAGGAATAAATTATGTTTTAAATTACGTCAAAATAGAAAACAGGTCATTTAAATTGCACTAATATTTCAAAATATTACTGTATTTTTTAATCAAATAAATGCAACCTTTGTGAGCATAAGAGACTTCTTCCAAAAAAAAAAAAATTTAAATCTTACTGGCCCCAAACGTACATAGTATATATTTGTTTACTTGCTACTAAATGTCTCAAACAACTCTTGTCTCAATCTCTTTCAAATATTTAATGACATCAAACTCATTAAAGTGCCCCTATTATGGTTTTTCAAATCTAGCCTATTACCTTTCATGCAGTGTATAATAAAGCTGTTTGTGACTGTAAACGTTCTGCAAAGTTGTAAAGTCGAAAGTGCACGATAAATAAAGTTATTGTCTCCCAAAAGAAAGAATGGACTCTGAACCACCCGGCCATACGAGTCGTTTGTAATTCGAATCCTACTGCGTTACGGTTCTATGTCACTAGATAAGACATTTGCATAATGCTCATCTATGTTGTCCGCATGCGAACAACTTGACCAGCCCTCAAACACGTCCTTTTACTGACGACTGCTTCTCAAATCTCAGAGTTCAACGCGGGATTCGCAAAACGCTTGCTCTTGAAATATGGGTCACTCAGTACCCAGTTTATTTGGACCAGCTTGCTTCTCAGAATCACAACCTGTAAGTATGAAGTTATTGATGTATACATTTTCTACCGGGTGTTCAAAAAACGTAGTTTTGTGTTTTATATTGTGTAAATTTCCAGCGAACTCACGTTATTACTGTCCTGCTGAAATACTTTTGCTAATCAGTTGTGGGCCACTATTACCTAAAACGGTCTATTAATGCAGATTTTCTGTCGTTCTCACTACTTTGAGTAAAGATAAAGGATGGAGCAAGATTTGTTTTACAAACGTTTGTTACATCAGTCATTAACCTAGTGCTGGGCGAACATATGCACCGTTATTGATTCAGTTCCCACATGTGCACAGCAATAAATTAGAAACATACACATCTGTTTGTTGATGGACATACTCTTGTTAATGCTGATGGGGAGGAATTACAGTTTGCAACATCTCATAATGTACCTCAAAATGAGTAGTGTTTCAGAAACGCCCTGCTCGAGTCGTCCTTGCGATGGAGGTTCAGGTTGAATAACTAGTTCTTCCAAGGTTTCATCGGCGTTACTGTATTTACAGTGTGTACAATCACTGAGCTTTAGAAGCCTACGGACGGAACTGAAGTTCAGTTACGGTAATCGGAGTTTAGCTTCTAACACGCGCTGTACGCGGTAGACCAATCACAACAGACTGGGCCATCTGGCCAATCAGAGCAGAGTAGGTTCGCGGAAAGGAGGGATTTAGAGAGACAGATTCTGAGATTCTAGATTCTGAGACTGATCGAGTCGTTTGAGAATCATTGAAATGTAGTGATGTGCAATGTATATTATGAGAAAATGAAACTCTTTTTTGACCTTTGATGCATGTAAACCTGTTGTAAATAAATTTGGAGCCTGTAAAATAGCATAACAGGGGCACTTTAACTGTAGTGGCCAGTTCTTCCTCAGAAGTGCTCACCATAGCAGCCTGTTTCCTTGTAAACAGGTTTCCTGGTTGACTGATAACACACACCACGATCTTTTGTTCATTTAAGTGCTTGAACCCACACACTCCCAATGCACTAAATCACTCAGCAGGCCTTTGACTGCATTCCTGATCACAAACCAGGAAATGACGCGAGTTACACACTTAGGCCAAGTTCACTTTAATATTTGTTTTTTAGATTCACTCATTGAACCACTACAAATTTAAGTCACTCCAGGCTAACAGCCAGGCTAATCTTGTAGATGTATCATATATCAAACCAATTTTTCTTATATTGCTCTTCCTTCCTTGATACTGAGAATTCTATTTAAAAAGAAATACAACAGATCATGCTGAGGAAGTACAGTATGTGTGGGCGACATGAATATTATTAGAAGTATATCACATTTCTGAAACAGTGTGCGAGGACTCACCAGAGCCAGCCGTCCCAGAATGCACCACCTCCATGTACACCTCAAAGGTTGAGCCGGGGCTCTCCCTGAAACATAAATAGCACAGGAAGGGTCAGAGGTCAAATATGGATTTACTCTAAGGAATGTGAAGACTAACTAAGGCTTTTAAAAGAAAATCAACAGTACGGTAAAATTTTGCATTCAAAAAGCTGCCCTTGAGATATTACAACAAATTCCCCCATTTGAACCCAAAAAGTACGGTTCCACTGACTTGAGATGTAACAACAACATAGCTGACCACATTACTGAATATCTTGCCCACAAAGATACACACTGTCTGCAACATAGCAAAAACATCTTACTTGTAGTTTTGAGAACAGGTTTTAACATTAATTTATATGAGCACTTTGACCTATATAAAGTCAGCCAACAAATTCAAAGCAAAAAAATAGCCTAACTAAATTGCTCTTGTCGTAGTATAGCTAAAACTAAAGACGTGTGGGACCATGATCTGACGTTAGATTAATATGGTCACATTCACCACATTACAGAAATTAGGCTTGTCTACAGTAGTGAAAAGAGGATCTTATCTGACTAGTGACTACCATAACAGAAACCACAAAATAATCTTTTCAGCAGAAATGAAAATGAAGTTCCTAAAAGTCAATAAACCTAGATCACCAAAAAATAAAACACTAACAGCCTTAGCGCCGTTTCTTTAATGTTTGCAAATATTTTACAAGTATTGCAGAAACCATGTTATGGAATAATTAAAAATAAGATGGTGGTCAGAGTGTGAATTAAATATACTAGACACGAATGCATAAGGATACTGAATATTTTCAACAACTTCAATATATATAACCTAAATATGTTCTGGAAATGATTGTTTAATTTAGGATATCTTATACCTCTACTATCAACTATGAAGAGAAAGATCAACAAACTTCACAAACTGAATGACTGTCTTTTCCATGTGTACAAGAGAAGCTTTTTAGTGAGCGAAAATATGTTTATATCTGACTTTGTTCTGTCCTTCATGGTGTTTCCAAAACATCTTATCGTGGGCCAATTTTAAACCCTGAAAAACACTGTTACCACAGACAGCTCATTCATGTCTTATTCATTCAATGCATTGAATTACCAAAGCAAGTAAGCGTCACTGAGCTGGAAACAATGTAATAGACTCCAGAACCTCCATTGAAATACATGTGTCTGGTTTATTTTACATAGATTTGCATTTCTTTTATCAAGCTGTGAAAATTATTTCTTATTAACATAACAAAATGAACAGTAATTCATCCCTGCAGGACATGTAAACAATCAGTCTCATGGACTTCATGTGTCTCCAGTAAGTTACTGCAAAAATGCACAGCCCTCCAGGTAATATAATACATGAAAACATAATTAATTGCTGCATTTATTATACAAATAACTAAACAAACACCCAAATCCGCAAAGCAAAGTATCTCTCTGTCGCAACAAGTCTAAACAGGCCTTTTAGGGAGGTCAGAACTCGCATTTATAACAACACTGTATGTCACACAAAAGGGGAGAGAGACATTGACGCTTACTTGATACGAGAGCCCATTGTATCCTTTATTCAAATCCAATCCTTTCCTCAGAATTATGTGACAATAACCCGCTGTCGGAGTTATATTTCCCGTTACCCCGTCACATACTGCACAGGAACGCCATGGTCTCCACGCGCGGATCACGGTACTACGGCCTTGGTGGATTATGGGAGTTGTAGTTTTCTGGTCGTGTCTGCGGTTGTCAGTCGATAAGCGCCGAACTACATTTCCCACCGAGCCGTGACGTAAGAGTCGCCTGACACAGAAGGGAGTGTAGTATGATGCCTGGGCATTGCAACAATGAATTGCAATAACAACTGTTACAGCTGTGTGACAGATGGTCAGTGTGGATGTTTGTGTTGTTAGGAGTGCAGTGACTGAGTCAGAGTCTAAAACTACTGTGGTACACTTTATGAAAGGAGAATACAGTGGTATTTTGATTATGGTTGCCAAACGGAGCCTGTTGATGTGAAATAAACTTCAGATCAGGGTGCTGGTGGTGTTTATGATATTGTTCTTTCTTTCTTTAGACTTCTCATAAACAAAGATTTTCGTCCTAAATTAATGTCAGGCTATTTACCATATCCTACCCCTATATCCTAACCTATACAAACATTGTTTCTGAATGTTGTGAAAACTTTTTAAGATTAAATCATGCCTGCTGTAGGCTATCCTGCAAATCCTCTAAAAATTGTTGGCCTAATTTTGTATCCAAATTGTCCATTAGCCTAAATAGCCACAATAAAAAAATTAGCTCCGATTGGATGGCAGCCTATTTCTATGGTGATTTTGAGATTCAGTTTCAGAAAAGAATATTTTTCATGGGGTTGCACTGCATAGGCTACATTTTCCTTAAAATAGAATAGAATAGAATAGAATAGAATAGAATAGAATAGAATAGAACAGCTATCACACAAGCAACGTAGCCTAGGCTACACATTGTTTAACGTGAAGGAGCTATTTCTTCATAACTGATTTCTAAAATGACTTTTATTATAAATAGTCAGGTAAGATGAGTTGCACGCGGGAAACAGCGATAACAAAAGCTGCTGTCTCTAAGCGCGCAGGACTAGCCTATTATTTAAAAGTCTGTTTAAGGCGACAGATCTTCACAAGCCCTGATACTGCGCGCATGCAAGTACAACCCGTCCACTCTTACCGAAAGGAAACGGACAACTAAAGACGGCAAGACTACAATTAAAGACAACTGGACTTCCATGACCGGGGTATCAATGAAGACAGGCACGCGCACAGGTGACAACCCGCAGCTTCTACCTGCATCTCCGCGCATCCTCCCTCGACTCGGGATCTGTTCGATCTGTTGTCGCAAACAAAGTTTCTGATTGCATTTATTTAGACTCTGATTTGTTAGTTAGTTTTGGACAAGTTAGATTAGAGCCGGTTACACTTGGACCACAAGTGTGGAGCATAGCCTACATTTTTGCCCTTTATTTGTTGCATTTTCAATGTAGCCTAAATGACAGATTGTTTTATAGTCTATATATTTATTTCACACACACCTACACCTGAGATAGATAGATAGATAGATAGATAGATAGATAGATAGATAGATAGATAGATAGATAGATAGATAGATAGATAGATAGATAGATAGATAGATAGATAGATAGATAGATAGATAGATAGATAGATAGATAGATAGATAGATCTGTTCATATCATCATTTCCCACTCAAAGGAGGTAAAATATTCATATGTGCTGCAGGAGAGGAGCTATCAGCTGCTACTATCAACATGGAAAACAAACCAGTAAGTTATTAATGTTATTCTCTTATGATACATAAATAAATACAACTTTTTTATATTATTTTAATTTGCAGCAATGTGATGAGTTAAACCTGTTTATTTTGATGTTAATTTTGTACATTTTTATTTTATTAGATACATTGTTTACAGTTTTGTACAATAGGTCAATATATAGCGTTTAGACAATTCATTAATTTGAAAAGTGGCAATTCTATTTTAAAATAGGCCTATATTAAAAGTAAAATTCATTATTATTAAAGTTACCGATATTGCTATTTAACTGTATGGTTATTGGTTTGTGTAGGACAAATTCTAAATCATGTTTTTAATATCCTTCACAAGTTTTGAATGGCAGTGTGCAGACAGTAAACCACAGATAGACTATAAATCCATGGTAAAGAAAGCTTCAAAACATAATTTATTCATAGAAATAAATCAATTCAATTAAATTCACATTTATTTGTATAGTGCTTTTCACAATACATATCGTTTCAAAGCAGCTTTACAGAAAATGCATGTTTCTACAAAAAACAATTTAATGTAATTTAGACAATTTAGAGTCATTTGTTATCAGATGTGACTGTCCAAGTAATGTCCATCAGAAATGTACAGTTCTATAGATTATAGAAATCATGCAGTTTGCTAACATCATGCATTAATTTAGGCAGAAATGATCTCATTAAAGTAGTTATTAGTTGTTATCATAATTACAATACATAGAAAATTTGGCAGTTGTGTATGTTGATTCAGAGTTGGTGTTGGCGTCATCTCTTCACAGGGGATCGGTCATCCCCAGAGACAGAAAAGCAAATGGAAAATAATTAGCGTAGCTGCTGTTCATAACATTTCAGGCAAATGATAATCATGTGCATTTGATCTGATATAAAGGTTATGAGATGCATTATGTGAATGCTTGGCTAAAGAGATGTGTCTTTAATCTAGATTTGAACTGGGAGAGTGAGTCTGAGACCCGAACACTCTCAGGAAGACTCCAGAGAATTAACTAAATAACTTTTTTACAACAAAAATGAACCATTACGGAACTTACTTAAGCTGGACTATGATGCTGTTCTTCTAGAAACAAACTTTGTTGCATTATTTTCCTGTTATCACTGGATAAAGCTGCTTTGAAACAATCTGTATTGTAAAAAGCGCTATAAATAAAGGTGACATGACTTGATTGTAGGGCGATGGAAGATCAGTTAAATACACAGGAGCTAAACCGTTTAGGCCCTTGGGTCAGTAGCAATAGGGTACATAATAATAATAATTAATAATAATACTTGAGATGATCAAATTGGTGTTATATGATCATATTTTCTTTAACGTTACCTGGTAAGAATTCTAGCTGCATTTTGGACTATTGTATAGCTTGTTTATTGAAGATGCATTACAATAGAGGTCATGAATGCATGATAGCTTTTCTGCATCAGAAACAGATAAGCTGGAAGAAGGCTGTTTTTGAAACATATGAAATATGGTTTACGAAAGACAAGTTGCTGTCTAATATAACACCAGGTATTTGGATGAACAGTAGCCTAGCCTAATTCTACATGCAAAATGTATTCTAAGAGATTCTGCAGGTGTTGGGTCCAATAAGTCTTTAAAATAGGCCTATTAGTCTTTTTTTTTAATATTCATGAATTCACATATGCCAAATATTAAATAGACAATTCTGCTGTTTCGGCAAAAAACCTTGCACACATTTCTTTGAACAGATTTCTGTAAAATATATGGCAAATGAGATTTCGGATGTTTGATAATAACGATGGTGAATGTTTAATGGTGTTCCAGGACCCGGGCTGTGAGTCACCATTGTGCGCGGGCTGTGGCGCGCGGATCTCGGATCGCTTCTACCTGCTCGCGGCAGACAGACGGTGGCACGAGCGCTGTTTGAAATGTAGCGCGTGCCACGCTGACCTGGAGTCAGAGCTCACGTGCTTCAGTAAACACGGAGACATTTACTGTAAGGAGGACTATTACAGGTAAAATAAATGTAGCCTATACAGCTGAACGTTGGTTGTTATATTCAACATCGAAATTAGACCAAATTGTTACTCACTGCATATTATTGCTACGCTATAGAAGACCGCGTTTAGTTGTCACGGTTTTACCCCAGCGAAGGTTTATTTGAATCCTTTTTTCAAAAAAGTTATTGAATTTCCAAAAAGGATAGAGTTACAGAAATTTAACAAACGTTGACCTTTCACCCCAAAAGCGGGGTAATTTGTCACAATGTAGGCCTAAACCCGCTGTTTATTGACACTAATTTGAGTAGAACAGCTAGCCTATAACATTTCATATGAAATCATCTAAAGTAAAAAAAATAAAATAAAAAAAATACAGGGTTTCTGCAGGTCTTAAAAAAGTCTTAATTCATTCTTACACAAATTAAGGCCTTAAATAAGAGCAGAAAGTCTAAAATTCATAAAGTAAGGGAATTGCATTCTCTGCAAAAAAGATTATCCTCAGTATTTTTGTCCTGTTTTCCAATAAAACTATCGAAACCTCCTTTAATCAAGATATATTTACTTGAGATGCAAATGTAAAATGAAATTGTGAGTTTATGCTTAAAACAAGAACAAATATCTGTCAATAAGTTAAAAAAAAAAGTTATTTAAATTAAGTTGATGTTTCTGAGCCCATTGCGTGAGCTTAGAATTATAAGGTTCTATCTCCGTTTAGGGTAGTTCTGAGATATTGAGCATCAAAGTTTTTACATCCCTGCTGGTTTGTGAGATGGAACCTTTTTATTTTACTAACTACTAACAAAATATTTTTTTTTACAAAAATAACACCACACAGGCATTAATAAACACCTAATGGATAAGATTATGTCAAAAACTCAATTTCGACCAAAAGTGGAGATAGAACCTTATAATTCTAAGCTCACGATTGGCAGATATTTGTTCTTGCTTTAATCATAAATTCACTTCATTTTGACAGAGAACAAGACACATTTTTTGACAGAGAACAAGACACATTTTGACACAATATTTTATGTAATTTTGCATCTCAAGTAGCCTAAATGTGTCTTGATTTAAGAATCTTTTTTGTAAAATTAATTAAAAAGTTATGGATATCTGTTGTATTTTCAAACTCTGAAGTGTTGCCGATACAACTCATTGTGTTTCTCCCTAGACATTTACATTTCGAGAACATATGTATTGCGTTCCCTTCATTCCTTAAATTTTCTTTACTTGGTCTTTAAAAGTCTTACATTTACCTTCATAAAACCTGCAGAAACCCTGAAAAAGTCTTATGAAATCATGAATCAACAAAAATGCAAAATATGCTAAATACCAGACCACTGATCTGTGACAACTTGCCCCATCACTTCTTTCCTGAGTTTTCACAGTTCACACATGTGAAAAGCTTCTTAATAAAGCCAAACAATGATGTCTTCTCTTAAGTAGTAGGTTTTCTTCGCAAAGATGTGCACGGTGTCACCTGGGAATCTCTGCTGCAGAGATAGTGATGCGCGCCAGGGATCTGGTGTACCACTTGAGCTGTTTTTCCTGTGCCACCTGCGACAAAGTGCTATTCACTGGAGATCACTACGGGATGAGGGAGACGTCAGTGTACTGTCGGGTACATTTCGAGATGATGCTACAGAAGGAGTGTCTTAAGGATTTGTATTATTCTGACGTGTCTCCAATAGAGCTAAACTCTGAGAGCAGCACATACAATGAAGGGACACCTGTGCGCAGAGGACGGGCCCGGAAGAGGAAACATTTTGATGCCGCTGACCATGGGACTTATAACTCAGGTAATGCATTTTAGAGATTAGCGTTATTTTATAAGTGCTGTCAAATCGATTAATCACGATTAATTGCATCTAACATAAAAGTTTGTGTTTACATAATATAGGCTATGTGTGTGTATATATTTATATATATTATATATGTCTGTGTGTGTGTGAGTGTCCGTTATACAGTGTTGGGGGTAACTCATTACAAGTAACTTGAGTTACGTAATCAGATTACTTTTGCAAGTAACTAGTAAAGTAACGCATTACTTTTTTAATTTGGAACAAAATATCTGAGTTACTTTTTCAAATAAGTAACGCTAGTTACTTTTTCACATGTATTGACTGACAACTCTCCTGTCCTCATGTTGAGAGAAATAAAGTGAGGAGGTGATGTGTGTGTGTGTGTGTGTGTGTGTGCGCGCGCAGTGTAAACATGGTTATTGTAGTTCTAGACTAAATATGAACATGCATTTACTCATCTCACTTGCACGAAAACATTCAGCATTCCTCAAAATGAATAAAAACAGTAAATTTTATCAGAATTTTATGCAAAACTTTTATAATTAACTATCTTAAATTACACAAAAATATTTCATGTATTTAATCTCACTTTATTAACCAATGCTGCTAACCTTCAATGATCTAATTCAACTATACTAATAGGCAAAAATTACTCAAGATTAGACGAAGAAATAAGCGTGTTGAACTTCCTTCTCCTGTATCCTATTGTTGTGTAATCCAGAACGGCTGAACGGTTTGTTTGAGCGGCGCCCTCTACTGTACAGGAGTAAACATGCATTTCCTTGCATTTATCACTTTTGGTGTGAAAGGGCCTTAACATTTGCCAAAAATATAACTTTTTTGTTGTTATTAAAAAACAAACAAGCAAGCCCAGCCCAGATGAGAAAAAGTAATGCAAAAGTAATTTTACGCATTACTTTTCATAAAAAGTAACTAAGTAACGCAATTAGTTACTTTTTTTGGAAGTAACGCAATATTGTAATGCATTACTTTTAAAAGTAACTTTCCCCAACACTGCCGTTATACATACATACATACAGTTTATATATACATAGTTCTGTCATGAAACTCTAGATGGCGCAGGCTGATGGGTCCTTAATGCAACCTTACATTATATTTATATTTACAACATTAACTACTGGCACAAGCTGATTGGTTCATGTTGCATCTGCATATACACTCACCGGCCACTTTATTAGGTACACCTGTCCAACTGCTCGTTAACACTTAATTTCTAAGCAGCCAATCACATGGCGGCAACTCAGTGCATTTAGGCATGTAGACATGGTCAAGACAATCTCCTGCAGTTCAAACCGAGCATCAGTATGGGGAAGAAAGTTGATTTGAGTGACTTTGAACGTGGCATGATTGTTGGTGCCAGAAGGGCTGGTCTGAGTATTTCAGAAACTGCTAATCTACTGGGATTTTCACGCACAACCATCTCTAGGGTTTACAGAGAATGGTCCGAAAAAGAAAAAACATCCAGTGAGCGGCAGTTCTGTGGGCGGAAATGCCTTGTTGATGCCAGAGGTCAGAGGAGAATGGCCAGACTGGTTCGAGCTGATAGAAGGGCAACAGTGACTGAAATAACCACTCGTTACAACCGAGGTATGCAGCAAAGCATTTGTGAAGCCACAACACGCACAACCTTGAGGCGGATGGGCTACAACAGCAGAAGACTCCACCGGGTACCACTCATCTCCACTACAAATAGGAAAAAGAGGCTACAATTTGCAAGAGCTCACCAAAATTGAACAGTTGAAGACTGGAAAAATGTTGCCTGGTCTGATGAGTCTCGATTTCTGTTGAGACATTCAGATGTTAGAGTCAGAATTTGGCGTAAACAGAATGAGAACATGGAACCATCATGCCTTGTTACCACTGTGCAGGCTGGTGGTGGTGGTGTAATGGTGTGGGGGATGTTTTCCTGGCACACTTTAGGCCCCTTAGTGCCAATTGGGCATCGTTTAAATGCCACGGCCTACCTGAGCATTGTTTCTGACCATGTCCATCCCTTTATGGCCACCATGTACCCATCCTCTGATGGCTACTTCCACCATGTCACAAAGCTCTAATCATTTCAAATTGGTTTCTTGAACATGACAATGAGTTCACTGTACTAAAATGGCCTCCACAGTCACCAGATCTCAACCCAATAGAGCATCTTTGGGATGTGGTGGAACGGGAGATTCGCATCATGGATGTGCAGCCGACAAATCTGCGGCAACTGTGTGATGCCATCATGTCAATATGGACCAAACTCCCTGAGGAATGCTTCCAGCACCTTGTTGAATCTATGCCACGAAGAATTGAGGCAGTTCTGAAGGCAAAAGGGGGTCCAACCCGTTACTAGCATGGGGTACCTAATAAAGTGGCCGGTGAGTGTATATATATACATAATTACACTATATATGTATAGAAATGTGTGTGTGTATAGTGTATACATTACACACAGATGCACACACACACATATATAATATATACTGTATATATAAATATAATAAAATATATACACACACACATTTTTATGTAAACACAATGTTTTATGTTAGATGCGATTAATCGTGATTAATCGATTTGACAGCACTAATATTTCCATCAACTTACAGGTTATAAAGTTTATTGTAGATATGTGGGTGCTCAGTTTTTCCTGTCTTTTAATACATTTGGCCAAAATCTTGTGTTATAAAAGATGAGTTGCTTACACAGGCTGTATCGGCTATGATTAGGGCAAATACCAGACTAAGACACTCTTCTCGGCTCCTCAAATACATAAAACATTAGCCTTCACACACATTGTGGTTTTTGAATAATGAAAAGATTACTTACCCTTGCACTGAATTTTCATCATATATATATATTCCAAACTTTTGACCTGTAGTGTGTATTTAATTTTGGGATTATCAAAATAAAAATGTTAATAGTTATTATTAAACGATAGGTTAGCATTACAAAAATAGTCAGATTCCATTATAAACATACACAAACAAATATAATTAACAAATAAAATCCAATTGTTATTTTAATATGAATACAATTAAAAAAATAATTAAATAGTAATAATTATTATTAATTATTATTACTATATAAATATTCTAAAATGACTTTAGTAAATCATGTTCTACACAAAACAGTTCTTAAAAAAATTAGTTAAGAGTAAATCGTCATAGTTGTGGAACTTTGTTCTCAAGTAAATGTGTGCAGAAGATGAAACTGAGAAGACAGTGTTTGCTATTGTTGACTATAGTGCCCTGGCCTTTAGTGTTTCAGTGAGTCATATCAGTGATGATTAACTGTGTGTGCATGTGCTCTAGACGTGAGCGATATGGGTGTGGAGCTGTCGGAGAGAGTGAGCTGTCAAAAGTCCAAACGCATGAGAACGTCTTTCAAGCATCACCAGCTGCGGAGCATGCAGTCGTTCTTCACCCACAACCACAATCCAGATGCCAAAGACCTCAAAGAGCTCTCCCAGAAAACCGGCCTCACCAAACGTGTGCTCCAGGTCAGAAAAACATCACTGGGAGTTGAACAGAATGACCTCTGTTTGAGTTAGATATACAGTGGGCTCCAAAAGTCTGAGACCACGTTGAAAATGTGGCATTAAAAATCGAATGTAAAATGCATAAGAAATGAAAAATGCATAAGAAATATTCGAGATTCGGCATTATTTGTAGATCACTAATCAAAGTAAATTTGCAACATGGGTCATGTGACTCCTTTGTACAGATGGTCAGATTTTCTTGTTTTCAAGTTTTCTTGTTCGATTTCATGCACAGACCGATCGGCATTTATGGAAACTTGTTTCCTTGCAATTTGCTGCAGGAGCTCTGATGATGACACAGCTGTTTCACGTTTGGCCGGACATGCGGACATGTTTATTCAGACACCTTAAGTTCTGCTAATGATAATTTCACTAAAAATTAAAGTTTTTTTACTGGCATTGATAGTTCTATGAAGAATCTTTAACATCCATGGAAACATTCCATTGTACAAAATGTTCTTTTTATTAGTTTAGATTATTATAATGTTCTTTACACTGACAAAAAAATGGTCCTTTTAAGAACTGTTGACTGAAAGATTATTTGAGGTAGCCGACATGGTTCTTCTATGCAACACCCGACTTTATTGGTATTTAAAGGTAGGGTAGGTAATTTTTGGAATGGCTAGCAATAGCAAGCTAGCTTTGAAAGCATGAGATCCCACCCTCCTTTCAAAGCATCTTCAAAGCCACGCCTCCTTCAAAACACATGAAATAGAGTTTGCAAAATGTCACGAGACGAAAGACGGCGTTAAACTACCTCGTGTCTCAAAGCACATAACATTACAGTAATAATGAACATAAACAACTTAAAGAGCCCTGACCTGTACCACCTGACTGCTGCAGGTTCATTACGCCGTTGATAGTGTTGCCATTGAAGCGCATACATTCGAGTCACAAACCGCTCCGTGTATAACGTCACGGGTTTCCATCTCTTCCAAATGACAGTAGTTATGGCCTGAACGCAGCATAAGCTGGTTGTTTTGGTTCAGGACGAACTGTAAAACGCGGCTGCTGTTTCGGTTGCGCTGCTCGGTGACTGACGTCTGTCTAATTCTGCATAGCATTAAACTTGCTGATGATGTGTGATGTCTGCGAGAGCTGTGACCAGTGAGTGATTGCTATCAGGATGTGAAAAGACTTTCAACCAGCATAACAAAAAAAAAAATTCTGGAACAAATCACCTACCCTGCCCTGAAATAGTATAGGCTTATGTTGAACCTTATTCTTGTACACACAGGCCCTGTAACACTTTTCAACTCCTCCACTGACTGCAAGCAGAAAATCTCGCCGATCGGTTCGATCGAGCCACAGCCGAAGTCAAACACACCTAAAAATCTCTCATTCCCTCCCTCACTGATATGTAAATAAGCCTAATGGAGTCAAATCCTCATGTTGTCTTTATTTTCTGCAGGTTTGGTTCCAGAATGCCCGAGCAAAATTCAGGAGAAATTGTCTATATGAGGAGAGCGTGGGAGTGGACAATGTTTCTGACAATTCCACCATCACGTCCCCATCGGTGCCTTCACCTGAGCTTTCTCACGGATCCTTGAGCCCATCAAGCCCCAACACCGGCACCTCTCCATCTCAACACACACACACACACACGCAACACAAAACACAACAGCATTAGCCATTCACAATGTACACTCCCCAATTTCTTCAGAGTTCCTCTACCAGTAGTTTTTGATTGTTGTTATACTATATTATCTTTAAAGTTAGTGTATTTGTTAGGCCTGTTGGAGTCTTTGAAGCACCAGCACACAGTAAAAGAGAAGCCACCTCCAACATTGTCTACTGCTGTTATCCCATTTCAATATGTTTCGGGATGGAATACTAAGTATGTACAGCATTCTGCATATAATATATGGTATACAGTCTGTTGCATTTTAAAAATAGTTTGTTAAAATGCTATATCATATGCAAGCATGAATGTTTCAAACAGTCGCATGTTAAATTGTTGTCACATGAGATCATTGTTTTGTATGTCGGCAAATTGCATCCACATATCACCTTGAAAATAAAAGTTATATAGCACTTTTTATTCCGTTTCATATAGACATGTCTCATTTTCATTAGTAAGATGTATTGCAACGATTCATTAAATTGATCAAAAGTGACAACATTTATAATGTTACAACAGTTTTCTGTTTTAAAGGAACACTCCGACTTTTTGGGACTTTAGCCTATTCACCTTATCCCCCAGAGTTAGAAAAGTCCATACATACCTTTTTCATCTCCGTGCGTGCTAAAAGTCTGTTTGACGCAACCACCGCTAGCCTAGCTTAGCACAAAGACTGGATGTAAATGGTTGCAGCTAGCATACTAATCCAAATAAGTGACAAAATAACGCAAACATGTTTCTATTTACATGTTGTGATTTGTATAGTCACAGAGTGTACAAAAAACAAAGTCACATGAGACACAGACATATTTTAACCGTATAAATACTGGGAACTATATTCTCTGAAGGCGACTATATATTTTCTGAAGGCGAAACACTGCTACTTGGGCGGAGTGATAACCGCAGCACCTGAGACGCGCCGTGGTGAGGAGCAGAGAGCGCGTCTCAGGTGCTGCGGTTATCACTCCGCCCAAGTAGCAGTGCTTCGCCTTCAGAGAATATAGTTCCCAGTATTTATACGGTTAAAATATGTCTGTGTCTCATGTGACTTCGTTTTTTGTACACTCTGTGACTATACGAATCACAACATGTAAATAGGAAAATGTTTGCGCTATTTTGTCACTTATTTGGATTAGTATGCTAGCTGCAACCATTTACATCCAGTCTTTGTGCTAAGCTAGGCTAGCGGTGGGTGCGTCAGATAGAGTTACAGCACGCACGGAGATGAAAAAGGTATGTATGGACTTATCTAACTCTGGGGGATAAGGTGAATAGGCTAAAGTTTCAAAAAGTCGGAGTGTTCCTTTAAATATGCTGTTCTTTTGAACATTCTATTCACCAAAGAATCCTGAGAAAAAGTATTATGGTTTCCATCAAAATATGAAGCAGCACAACGGTTTTCAAAATTAAGACTATTAATAGGAAGAAATGTTTCTTGAGCAGCAAATCAGCATATGATTTCTGAGGGATCATGTGACTGGAGTAATGATGCTGAAAATTCTACATTTTAAAATATATTAAAATAGAAAACAAGCATAAACACATATACATAGCAGTTCACCCATATGCACACAGAGAAAATCAGATGTGGTAACTTTGATTTGAACTCTCTGAACAAGGTTTAAATAAAGTATCCACATTCTGGGGGGAAAAATATATGTTTGTTTATTCAAGTTTATTCATCACTGGAGTGTGTGGTGTTTGATTATATGTATAAGTGGCGTGTGTGTACTCATGTGTTCGCTTGTTTGTGCGAGTGTGTGTGAGAGTTTATGAGTGTAAAGTTTGTCCTGGGTAATTATCCTGATCCCTGCTGAGGTGATTGTGGTTTGCATTGTGCAGTTTACGAGCTGAGACTGAAGTCTGCCAGTGCTGGCGAGTTACACCATCACAACATCAAAAAGAGAAAGAGATCCGCTGCTGTCTTTCTTCCATGACCGCACTCTTTTATTAGCTGCTAATTAAGTTTTGTATGGCAAAAAACATAAATATTCCGGAATTTCTCTTCGTTAAGTTGTCTGTAAAATTATGGATAGTCATCGCATAAATATTATTTTTTTTTGCATACTGCACATTTCAATGCTTGTGTGTTTGTTTGTGTGAGTGAGTGTTTGGTTTGTGTTTACGCATGTGTGCCTTTATGGATGGCAGATTATACTTGCACACACACACACACACAGTAACTTTGGGCTCGGAAAGATTTTAAAATACAATAAAATAACAGTAAAATAGCAAGTAATATCGTTCTGGCGCAGTATGGCTGCCGTCGCATCATTCAGGATGCTGCACATTGGTGGAGGTTGAGGACAAGTACAGATGTAAAGCGCTATAAAAATGTAACAAATTATTATTATTATATTATACAATATTATTACCATTTAAAATAGGCTAACTATTTTCTCTTTTAATATGTTTTGAAATGTCATTTATTACTGTGATGAAAAACTGAATTTTCAGCATCATTACTCCAGTCAGTGTCACATGATCCTTCAGAAATCATTCTAATATTCTGAGTTGATGCTCAATAAACATTTCTCAAAACAGTTGTGCTGCCCAGTATTTTTGTGGAAACTTCGATAAAAAAATCAGGATTCTTTGATGTATAGAAAGTTAAAAAGAACAGCATTTATTTTAAATAGAAACCTTATGTAGCCTAACAGTATAAATGTCTTCTTTACTGTCATTTTTCATCGATTTAATGCTGAATATTTTTTTTAATCTATATATTTATTACTGTGTGCTCCAAGTAATACCATGATGGTCTCCTTTGTCCAAAAAAAACATGGTATTATGACTGGTCGTCTTTTTGTAACTGTTTTTTTGTTACTGTCTGAGACCTTGAGGGGGCGCTACTGAATTTCAAATGACTGAAATGCCTGATGATTGCTTCATCTATCTATGTGATTTCTTAAGAACGAATCAAAAGCACACATGCATCCATTCATTGTTCCTCTATAGACACACAACCACACACACATACATACGCACTTAAAATGAAAAAGCAGAAGTCCTCCACACTCTCTACAGTTTTATGTCACTTTTTTAATGCCACTAAAAATATATATTTGCCACTTCCTCCAGCACAACACGTGCCAAACAACTGTGTCTGCAACAGCAAACCTTTGACATGGTGCCTGTGAGTGTGTTAAGGCAGACACGTGTCTGAAGGTATTTGCTCATAATTTCCCCACAAGAATGACAACTATTCAGGCTGAAAGTGAGTGTGTTTGTGCATGTGAGAGACAGAGAGAGGTGGGAGATACAGCAAACTCTAGAAAGATGTGGGTCAGCTTTCCATTAACCATAGCTCAAGCCACATGAAAAGTCTGGGGGTTTTGCTGTCGTACTGTTTTTGCACATGGGGTTATACTGAAACAATGTTATCAAGACATATCATGAACTTGTCTAAATTACCCATCTTTAAGGTCGGACTTGGGATATATTTGGCTTTGGAGCTTCTTCAAATGTTTAAAAGTCACATAAAATGTGCAATCTATACCATAAATATATCCTGGACATTCAATAGCCAGCATACATATGTGGTATCATCCTAAGGACAATTCATTTTTCTCCATTACAGTGAATTTTGTCAATATTTCATGAAAAGAGTGTATATGGAATCCTCCTAGGATCCAGCTTTTATATTTCATTTTGATTCATTTTTGTAAAATAAAATAAATTGTTATTAATTTTAAAGACAACATCTTTATATATATATATATATATATATATATATATATATATATATATATATATATATATATATATATATATATATATATATATTCAACATTTATTATTTTTATTATTATTATTATTAGGTGGTGGAGGTATTTTCATATTTAATTAAAATATAGTATATAACAATAACACAATTATTGGACTCATTATTATTATTCATTACATAGTATTGGTTGTATTATTATGTCATATTTAAATAAAATATACAATATAACAATAAAATAAATATTGGACTAAATATTCTTATGATTATTACTACTATTATTGTGTATTAGGTAGCAGTGCTTTCATTATTATATAATAATAATAATAATTATTGCATTTATTATTAATATTATTAGGTGGTGGTGATAGTATTGTCACATTTAATATCCTATAATATAAACATAATTATTTAATGTATTATTATTATTATCCTTATCCTCATCGTTATTATTGTGGTAGGCTTATTATTGTTGTCATGGTTAAAATAAAATATTGTAAAAAAAAAATGATGACTGAACTTCTTACTATAGTTAAATTATATTATTGTGATAGAATTGTCACATTTAAAATAAAACAAATGTAAAAAAAATATTATTATTATTTTGAAATAAAATGTTCACATTTAAAATAAAATGTAAAAATTAGATAATTATTGGACCACCTGTTATTGTTAGAAGAGTGAATGACATCTCCCCCCTTGCAGGGTCTCATGCAGAAGGTGGTTGACTGCAGTCACAGATCACAGCCATGTGATGCGCGGGGTGTGACTCAAACTTGCGTGGCCCGTGACATTAGTGAGTCTGGAAACTGACCAAAGGGGCTTCGCAACATTTTTTCAGCCCTGTAAATGTGTCAGGCACCGCTCTGAAGAGGTAAGTGGAACTCCTGCGTGACTTTTGAACCGATTAGTTAAAAACACGATGCTCGTGACGCTCGCGCGCCTCGCGATAATAAGGTGTTAGTAGCACAACGTGTTCATGTAGAAGAGAAAGAGTGCACCAAATGATTATTGGGGGCATAATGTCGCTGTCAAGCAGTAAAAAGAGGAGAGACTATCTAAATGAACACAAGGCCGTTTCGTTCTTTTGGATTAAACTTACATGGAACGTGCAAATATTGCATATGCTTTAGTTCACTCGTCTGCTCTTGCGCGGAAAATAGATCTGTTTTGAAAGTTCATACATCTGTTTTTCTTCATATTAGAGCCTAGTTCCGCTCCTTCATATATTTCCAAAAGCAATAATTAGAATAAATAAACACAAAACAATCGTATCGCACTGTAAATGCTGTGTAAATGAAATTAGCAAGTATAAAGGAAACATTGAAATGCTCCTCTAACGGGAACACCCACCCTCACACTGTAACTTCGGTTCGATTATATGTGCAAATATTACTTACAGCCCTGAATCAACACTTGGACGCGATCACGACTCATT